CAAATTCCAGGGATAGGACATGAAAGAATCTGCACAGAAATAGGACAGCAAATCAGGAATGAAGCCATGATCAACTTCAAACTGCTGCTTCAAAAAGCTGAGACAGAAGGATAATACTTCTAATACTGCATATTTAGGCCTATTTCACTTGGTGTTTTAATTCAGGCTATCACATCCATGGTCACTTGAAATTGTTCTACTTTCTAAAATTTATATTAATGAAATTAAACTCAAAGGAATTAGGATGAAAATGAAACTCCTCTACCTTTGCCATATTGCTTTAAAAGTAGTCACTAGAATTCTAAGGATAGGTACTTTGGTGTGAAAATAAACTTGTCCTTGCTCAGACACTGCTGAAATAATTAACCATTTCTTTTTTAAAATGTGCACATTTACACTGCTTGACAGGCACCAGTGTTATATACCATATAACTTACATACCACAAACAATCAAGTCACAAATATTTACACTATTCTGAGACTGCTGGTTAGGCAGTGAACGTTCTAACAAATGTGCTTATTTCTAGATCCAAAAAAATACTGTACGTGAATTATAATTCTAACAGTAAGAGAGAACTTACTTGCAAATTTAGGTTTTGTTCTTAAAATGTATTAAGTCAATTAGTTTTATCTCCAGAATTACTTTTCCACAGTTCCAAAAGACACTGCTCTGCTTGTCCTAATAGAATAAAAGGCAACCTACAGAGGATGAAATGCACAGGAATAAACTCTAATGACATCTTCAGAATCTTCATCGTAGCTCCCAATCAATATTTTCCTCAACAGTCTCCACCACAACCTACCTGAATTTTCTCTAGTAAAGACATCAACAGTTCTTTCACTGTTTAGTGACCAAACTGGGAGCATATAAAAGGAATCCTGACTATAACCCTGAATTCCTAACTGCACAAGCTAATGAGTGTGGCAGCACTCATCAGCTCAGAAATTAATTCTGTGTGTGATCCCACACAGGCCATACAGCAAGCTGAGCTCCTGTCCATGGAAAACACCCCAAAGTGAATGCTCCACCATGGAGAGCAGACCCATGACCTGAGCCAGTCAGTGGCCTGTGATCATTCTGGTTTTGTCAGCCAGAGCACATCACTCAGCTAGAGCCAGTTCTGAACCAGGTGCTGCAAAAATGGCTGTACCTGAGCCAGTGTAGTCAGGTTAAATGAATAAAACTTGCCTGATGCAAAGTTATGCAGTCCATCCTTGTGGAACAAATAGAAACCAACTAATGAATTTAAACCAGATCAATTTCTTGTATCATGTGGGTTCAGAGCTCTGTACCAAGAGCTGGAAGCTCTGTAGCCACAGGTACCCCAGAGAAGGCCATGAGAAGTCATCTCCCAGCAGAGGAGGCACTGCTTCCATGAGAGACAGCTCATTCCCCTCTCCTACACAAACACACTTCATTAACCCCAAACCAGACACTCAGGGATAGGTACTAAAAATATAGAATATCCCACAGTTTTTAAGTCCATTTATATATACAGATAAAGCCTACATAACAAACTAGAACCTCGAGCTATTGTTTCAAAGATTTAGTTCAATACTTAAATTTATTTCACTGTGTAGTATTTCTCACATGACTAATTTAAAAAAATTCTGTATCTCACATCACCCACGTTACCAATTTTAAACAGTAAATTATTTTTTACCACTATGTAGTTACATTGGAAAAGCAACATAAATCAATAGAGGTCCTAAGCACTACTTATTAGGATTACTACTGTCCAAAAGCCCAAGGGCTTACACAGCTGCAATTTTTCATGGTTTCTGGAATTATCTAAACCAAAGGGTACTCAATGCTGCAACCTCTGGGTGCTGAAGCATTTGTTGCATCAGCTGAGAACCTTTCACACTTACACCCAAAGCATCTTTCTCCAGTGTGTTGAGAAACAATTCTGTACCTACCGTGTAAGCTTTGTCTGAAGCAGCTGAATCCTGGAGCAGCATTTAATGCAATGCGAGTACCATGCCCCATGGAAGAATGCCATTTACATAGGATTGTATTTGCTATTGAAATGACTTTAATAGTTACAAATTCATGGGTTCAGTAAACTAAACCAAATTATTTGTAACAGCAACTATTTCATTTTCTTCTCCTGTTCACACATTACAATAGAAAATACTAGAATTCTCCCATGAAAAAAAAAGCTTACAACAAAAATTTGCATTGAGCAGTACATTCCTTTTTTAAGCTACAACTGCTACTTGGTCTAGCTTTTTTCTTTACAGAAGGAATTGATTGGAATAAAAAATGAATGTTTCTCCAGCTTTATGCTGCCAGATGAAGCTGCAGCCTTGTCATTTTTTTCTCCAGTGTCAGAGTCAAAGATCAGGCAAATACACTTTCACTAAATCAAATATTTGTTACTTTACATTTCTGAAGTAACAACCATGCTGTTGGCTACATTCTGTATTGTAAAGCGTGCTAATATCTAAAACTGAAAATAATTATTCAGATTTCAGTTTGCACTGAAAGCACACTACTTTCATACAGCACCTTTAAAAAGTATCAATGTGTTACATTCAGAGATTAAAAAAAAAATTAAAATACATTTTTCAAATCAAGACAGCCTGGAGAATAGATTTCTGAGTTAGAATACTGATTTCCTTCCTTTTGGAGGAAGTCTAAATTCTCTGGATTGCAAGATGACTTCAATTTTAAGCTATATGGATTAAAAGCTCTCTGAATTATCTCTGTTATTTGCAATCACTGAAACAGAAGTAGGAGCTGTGAGGAGAGCCAGCCCTCAGAGCATTCCACAGATTATGCTCACACCTACAAAATCAAGCTCAGCACTGGAGAGCATTCTGGAAATTGCTGTGTTGGGGTGAACACCTGGGAAAGCCAAGCAACCAACAGATGCTGCATCACAGACATGCAACAGACTGTGAACAGCTCTACATGAGGGAACTGCTGCTTTTGACTTCAGATTGCTTTTGGTATTTTAAAAGTATCTCTAAGTTTCAAGACTCCACTTACTTACAAATGTTCTCGAGCTCCCAATTTCAGAAGCTCACGATCACAGAACTCCTTTGTGAGCAGAAGTGGCACTACAGATGAGAATACCTCAGCTCCAGATGAATGCAAATTTGCACAGCAGTTAGAGCAGTTTGAAGACAACTAGACATACACACTATTGTAAGTACTTTATTTACACACTTCCTAAGGCAAAGCAACTGTGTTCTCATGGTTTCACACGTGCCCAGGGTCCACACATGCAGTGTAGGTCTGCAGTTCTTGGAGAAACAGAAAACTTTCTACTAGCAACAGCTAGAAATTGTCTTCTTGAGCAGTACATTTTAGTGGGTTCTCCCTTTCATCTTTTAAAATTACCAACTGAAAGAGCTGTTACTATTACATGATTTGTATCAAGAACTCTAGAGCTACAATTCTAAACACACCTCATTTTAACATCTTGTGGCTCAGGTGTTGAGATACTCAGAAGTATCACTGTTTTAGAACTGGACTGGTTGTAACATTTATTACAACATAATAACAAAAGTGAACAAAAGCAGCAAAATTAGTGTCTTTTTACTGTCCTCATTTAAGGGAGGTGACATTCTTACAACAAAAATGTGGGCTCCATTTGAAACTGCTTTTTTTCGAACTAAAATAATCTCCTGCCTTCAAACAGCAGAACTCTCAACAGAAACAGTTCCTCTTGGGGCTTTTGGTGTTCACAAAGGACAGATCAGCAAGAACAAACCAATTGTAATCTGATATGGAAAGACACTGCTAAGCATCCAGTGACATTAACATTACCCAGAACATTCAAACCTGTGAATGCTTTGTTTTCAAAAAAAGGACTAGACATAGCAGGTTTGATCATTCTACAATTTTATTATGGATTAGTACAGTCAGATCAGTACAAATAATTTTCAATGCTTGGTTCTGAAAGGAGCAGAGTTGCAAATGTAACATTGTTAAAACACATTTCAGTATTCAACAGGGTACGGAATGCACTGAGAAACTGTTACCCTACAAAGAAGAGGCAAAAAGGCAACGTTAAAGCTCGGGAAACTCCGGGAACAGGGGGTAGCTTCCACACCTGGACGCAGCTACTGTCTTTGATGCTAGTGAGTGAGGCTTCTATTCGTGTCTTTTACAGAGAGGCAATAGAAACGTCTAGAAGAGGAAGGGGCTGCTCTTGCTGTGTCCCCAGACAGCCCCGCCGCAGCGCCCTCGCCACAGGACCAGCGCCCCCAGACGCTGGCGGGTGCCCAGAAGGGGAGATGCCGCCCAAGGTGAAACCCACCACCAGGGTGGGAGGAGGTGGGCGAGGCTGGGCCCATCTGCAGCAGGGAAGGAATGCACGGCGTTCCCGCCGCGAGGAGAGGCGGGCGGCATTCAAATGGCCGCACTGCGAGCGCGATTGGCGCGGTGGGGACACGGAGAGGAGGGCATGGGGACAGCCACACCCCCGGGGTGGGACAGCCGGGAGCGGGAGGGCTGCGAGACAGCCCTCACGGGGAACGGAGGGAACGAGGGGGGGAAGGAAACACATTTTGAAAGGGTCCGGTTTGGACCGGCTGCTCTTTGTCTCATCTCTCCCCAAGGCAGGTAGTGCCGCGCACCGCCCCGCACAGCGGCGAGGTGTCCCGGCGGGATGGTCGGGCTCCCGCTCCCGCCCTCCTTTCTTCACCGCCACGGGTGGGACCCGGCGGCTCGCATCCTCCCCGGACCCGACCCCGCCTCGGACCAGCCCGCACTTCCTCTCCCTCCCTCCCCCGCCACACTCCTGCCCGAGCGCGCCCCGCGGCCGCCACGCTGCCGGCCCCACTCACCGACTTCATGGCCGAGGCCATGTCATCGTATCTCTCCGCCTGCTCGGCCAGGCGGGCTCTCTGCAGCAGCTGCTCTCGGTCCCCCATGGCCGCTTCCGTGGTGGCTGCCGGGCTGGGCTCTGCGCGCCCCTGACAGAGAGCGGAAGGCGGGCGGGGATGTGCGGCTGGCCGCGCACGGGTGGCGGGAGCGGGAACCGTGAGCGGAGCCGCCCGCTGGGCTGTGCCGGGCTGGGCTGGGCTGAGCTGTGCGGTGCCGGGCTGGGCTGTGCCGTGCCGGGCTGGGCTCTGCTGGCCGCCGCTGCCTCGCCCGCCGGCCGCGCTCCCGGACCGACCGCGGCGTGTGCGGCTCGGAGCCTCGCGCTGCTGCCGCCGCCCGCGCCTGCGCGCCGGGAAGGCAACGAGGGGGCGGAGCCGCGGTGCTGCAGGGGAGGGGAGGGGGCGCCGCTCCCCCGCGCTCTATTTCTAGGTGACGTCACTTGCTATAAATAGCCATCGCGGGGCGCCGGCCGCGGGCCGCGCGTGCGCGCTGGGAGTGCTGCATTTTCCTGCTGCAAAGGTGGAGGTGGGCGGGGGGCGCGGGCACTGCGGGACGGGGCACGGCACGGCACGGCACGGGCCACCGCCACCGCCTCGCCCGGCCTGCCTGGCCTCGCCCGAGGCACGGGCGGGCCGCCACTGAGCACGGTCGGGGTGAGCACGCTCCGCGTTCACGGGCGCGACCCTGGCCAGCCCCAGGGCTGCTGCGTGCGGCCGCGGGCTGCAGCGGCGGCACGGCCGTGCCGCTTTGGGGAAGGAGTGTACCCGGCAGCCCGGCTGCCTTGAAACAGCCCGGCTGGGGGGGTGGTACCACGGAGCCGTTCTACTACCTTACCTAAGAGACGCAGCTAAATTCAATTTTACTAGGTATTTTAATGTGTAATAGTCAAGCTCCTCTTTCATGAATTGACAGTCTAGCGTTCTTACATAAAAATGATCTCAAGGTAAGAACTTTACACGAACTGCTGCTGGTGCCCACAGAAACGCTGGGAGCCGCGTTACTCATCCCTTACAATAAATAATGAAGTTCTCCCATTGAGCCCCGGGCAGCATTTAAACATGCCTGCAGTGCCCAAGGTGTGGGGGATGCTGCACAGCCGAGCAAAAGGTTTGCTCACCTGCAGACAGCTCAGCACAGAGCACCTGGGCAATTTGAGCTCACCGCCCAAGGGAAGGAAAGCAAGTCCGTGGCACGGCCGGGAAGCGGGGACCAGGCTGCTCGCACTCCTCCCCGTGCTCTCCACCACCCTCGGTACTCTCACACCACCTCAAAGGAGTCAAGCCGGTCCCTGGTGTCAGACAAAAGTTTTTAGCCTTAACTCCAATACTGCTGGTTTTGTGCACTGAACCCTAATGCCATTTAAAATAAATGCTGTGGTTTTAAAAGGGATTAGATTAATAATGCTTGTTAAAAGACATAAATAAAGATGACAAATAAGAATAAATGATAGTTATGTATAATAAGGCATGAAAGATAAAACTTAGCAAGTTATAAATTGATTGCCAGAACATTCTGGAAACAGCCCTTGCAGCAGTGTGAAGCACATACACCACTGTGCATGCATCCCAGCAAGCCAAATGGGGCTTCTTCCCACTGGGATTCTGTCTTCACTGTTTCTAAGAGAAGGCAGTGACATCCAAAACCTGAACAGAATGGATCCCAAGCATCAGCTCAATTTATTATCAGAATTACTTTAAAACTTGCATTGATTTTACCTTAGAATAAATGTTTAGGTATAGACAGCAAAGATGTGATTTTGAAAATATAGGATTCCATGTAAAATTACCAATTTTAATGCATCTGACCCTTAGGCCAGAGTAGTGAGAGATGTGCCAATCCTCTTTGCCCAGTTCACTTCAGCTGGGAACCTTTGCAGTTGCAGTAATTTCTCAGTAGAGATTAGTCAGTTTGCAAAGCATTCCAATAGCTCTGAAAATATGTAGGGTTTACCAGAAGCTTTCTAGTCTTGTACAGCAGCTTCAGACTCCCCAGGGAAATGGATTACAAAGTATTTTTAAAACGAGTTATTCACCCACTGAACCAATCTGCATTAATCTGCCAAATATATGTGGATATATCTACACACGCACAAAACATTCTCATTAAATGCTTTGGTTTCCTTAATTGAGGCTTCTGTAAAACAGCTATTCCTCAGTCTAAGGCATCTCAGAAATTCCTAACCTTGAATCCACGAGGTCATGTATAACCTCACTGCTCCAAAACCAGATACACATCTAAATTCAACAGTTTCAAGAAAAAGTGCTAAAATAAGGCAAGGTTGTGTGCAGCACTTCCACAGTCTGGCTGTAAGCTAAAGAAAGGGAAGGGATTGCATTTCACACCCAGGCCTGGGGAGAGCACCTCTGTTCTCCTGTGCACACAGTGCCTACTGCTCTCCATCTTCACCCTCAGTACAGGCTCCACAGTTACACAGAGGTACAAATAAACACAAATTAGAGCTCAAACAGTGAGTTTTATAATCTTCTACAGTATTTATGAGTCACGATGTCTTAAAACAAAAATGGAAAGGAAAAGGAAAAATCAGCAGGCCTTTTATTAGAGGGCTGAGTGGGGTGCAAGCAGTGCCTGACTGTGGTTCCCCTGCTGAGCTCGGATGCCAGGCATCACTCCATGATTCCCATCAAATTCAGGAATACTGCTCTCATGAGGCAGGACTGAGAATCGTTCACAAAGTGACCACACCCAGCAAGAATTTGTAGATGGAGAAATTTATGGCACTGAAAATTGCACTATGACCTAAGGCAGTGGCTCTGCTCCACAGGCATATCTGATGGCTGGCCAGCAGCCATGTTCCATAAATAGCTTGCTGCTGAAATGCCATTCCAGTTCAGGGCTCACTCACACAGGGGCACTGGGGACACCACAGCTGGCTCAGAGGTGTCGCCCCAGGGCTGATGTTTAGCTGCAGGGACACTGCTGAAGAGGCAACACCACAAGGAAAGCACCATGTGCCATTCCCAGGCCTTCCCCACGGTGGAAAACCTCCCCTTTTGTTGTCCTGGAAGCACTGAGGGAGCACACAGACTTTGTGCCACTCTTTCTGAGTCTCATGGAACTACAGCAGTGCTGCTACAAAGTCCCTGCCACTAACATCCTCCTGATCCCTGGAGAAAATGAACTTCCCTCTCCTTTCTGCAGCAAGGAAATGTTTTATTTAGGGAACTGCTAAATGATGAAAGTCTTGGGGACAAGATACTGAAAAACACAGAGAGAGAAGAGAAACCACCCACTGGTGGGGGAGGTTAACCAGCTTCCACATCACAGCAAATAAAGTAGAGACAACTGTGGAAGAGAAAGAGATGGAGTTTAACATCTGATCTTGGAAATACTTGTGGCTGGCCCTTACATGGGGCATGATGCTCAGATAGTGCTGTAGGGTCAGATTCTTCCAGAGGCTTAGGACTATCTGTAGTTTTTATTGTTAGAATTCTAGCAGCACATTCCCCCACTGAAGTGAGATAAATGTGCATCAGGAGGATAGATGGTGTAACCAATGACAAGATCAGAGCACAAGATAGAAGTGGGTGTAGCTGTAGTGTGATGATTCTCTCCCAAACCACAAGGGACTGTAATTTCAGTGACATACTTCTAGCCAAACCATACACCACGGTTTAACAAGCCTCTAGGCTGTCACAGTGTGTGAAAATATTCTACTCTTTGTCATATTTCAATTTCATATTAATCCTGAATCACTCACAGAACCTCCCTCCCTCATAACTCAAGGGTAAATCCTAGAATGAAGAAACATGACACTGCCTGAGCGCTGCTCAGCAGCAGCAACAGGGTTCATGCCATGCATTGTGGTGAAGTACATTGTGTATCTGTTAACCCACACCTTATAACAGAAGGGTACTGATTTGTACAAAACCTGTGAAGCTCTTGCTCCCTCATGGGTAGGTCTGTACCCCAGGTACAGGTAGGGGTAGGTCTGTACCCCAAAGCCTATTTGGGATCACTGCAGTGTAGTTAACACCATTCAGTATTCACACACAGTAGCCTTTTGCATGTTCAGAATCCTGTGCAGACACAAGCTGATAAACCCTCAGAACTCTCTGGCAAAATGTGCTATCTTCCAGCACCTGCTCATTTCAGAGTCCAGTGAGGAAACAGCACTATGTCTGAATAAAAGATGATGGCAGTTTTTCCTTGCCAGAATGATTCAGGGATATGCACAGGGGGTTGTCAAGCATGCTCAGTTGTGGGGGTTCCTTTAAGTGGCGAGAACACAGTAGCTAATTGAAAACAGCTTTAACTCCTCAGGAGCTACTTCAGATTAGCGTGTTTGCTAGTCCTCCCAGGTAGAAGAATGCAGTTTTACTCTTTATATAATGAGGGGAAAGTAACCAGGATTTACAAGCTTCAACAGGAAAACATGAAAAAGCCTGCTTATCAGCAGCTGCCACCAGAGCACCATTTTGAAAAGAGGCTCTACAGGTAAGAGGAAAAAGAAACAACCTGTTTTCTGTTACAACCAGAAAATACTGGAAGTAAAAAAACAATATGAACACAAAATAACTCAATCCTATGATTTCTGGAACCTCTCTGAAAGACACCTCGTGCTGAGCATAAACAATTAAGGACTCAGCATCAGCAGCCACATTTAAAAAATAAGACCAGATCTGTCTTAACACATGAATTTTTACTACCCTTCAACCTTTACCAAAGTAGATTAGTTTGACTTAGAACTGGATTAAATCCCACTGAAAATGATTGATCTGAAACAATGACCTTTCACTGTAGAACATAACATGAAAGACTTTGGGGATAAGACTAATGAGGTGCAGAGATAAAACAAAATGCCTTTGCCGACATTTCCAAAAGTGGCCTCTTATTCTGGGTGCCCTACTTGAGTCACTGCACCAAGTGCTCGTTTCCTCCAAAAATGAGGCCCCAAGAAAGGTGAGCCAGGCATCCAGAATGGTCTGAGAACACTTCCTGGAAGCTGTGTCTCCCAGCGTTTGTCCTGGGCGGGTGTTGGATGCCCCAGTGACAGTAAGCAGGACTGCCAAAGGGACTGCGAGCAGGAAAAGCTGCTGCTCACATCCTCCATCCCCTGCAGCAGCAACAAGGATTTGTTCAGGGAAGTTTTGGTGGCAGCTGCTGTGCAGGATCTCCACACAGCCATTTCCACAGCACACTTCCAGGCAGAACCACCCTCAGCCTCCACCTTGCTGAACTGCCAAGAGAAAAGCCACCTCCAGCAGCAGTGCTGGAAAACACGGATGCTGCCTATGGGGAAAGTGTCCCTCTCACCTCAGGGAGAGTCAAGTAACAGAACTTCTGAAAGTGCTCCTAGATTTCCATCCCAAATCAACACACACAGGCACTGTACTTTGGGCTCTTACATGCATTTTAGGATAAAAATAACTTTGTTTTTTTTCTATCTAGGGCAAGCTCCTTCCTTTGCTAGGCCAAGCCATGTGGAGGAGGAGGAATGACAACAGCAGGTACAGCACATTCAGCTCGGGGCAGGTCAGCCACGTGCTCAGCGTGCTTCCAAGTACAGCTCCGAGGAAGAACAACACAAACACATCCAGAGCTTGCTCCAGATGGTGGGACAGGGAAAGCAGAACACGATGGGGACACAAATCACATCCAGGAAACCAGAACGAGGTAAGGCACAAATTGAACATATTGCTACCCCAATACAATGGAAAGAACTCCACTAGGCTCTCCTTGAAAGACCAACTCCAGGCAGCAGCACAGGCAGAGAAGGTCAGCAGCACCACTGGCATTCAGCACAGGTTCACTTGCTCTCTTCCCCAGGCAGTCTGCTCTGGCTCGTGGATGGGGAGGCAGCAGAGCCCCCCTGAACCCTGCTCAGCCCCCTGTAACCCTGTGAGACCATCTGTAGGCACCACTTGCAAATTCCTGCCCAAATGCAATTAGCTCCTCAAAACTGCTTTGTGCAGGTTCAATATCCAGGCGACATGAGGCAGTAGTGGGCCAAAATATGCTGTACTTCAACCACTTGACCTTACGTCTCTTAAAGGGAAATACATTTAATTTGCGTGATTTTACATATCAAACTTTGAATTGTCTAACATAAATTTACAGACAAGTAATAAGTTATTTCACCTGGGAAATTACCTAGAAAATTCAGTTGTCCTCCAGAGAGCAACTGTACCAAATTCAGAAATGAAATTCATTAAGTATAAGAGAAAAGGCCTTAATTCTGCTTTAGCTGAAAATCCTTTTTCAGATTTAAGTTTGGAAAAGAGACTTGTTGTTCTAGCACTCCTGAGGAATTTTGCTGAATTGAGCCTCTTCTTTTTAACTGAAAACTCAAAACAACTGTGTTCTTGAACTATTTTTAAAACTTACAAGGTCTTAGGACATTGGTGTTGTTCATGTGGTAGAACAAAGGTCACTTATATGCCAAGCCAAAATACCTGCAATTCCCTAGCATGGCTTGCTTTCTTCAAAAATAACTGATATAGAATGACAGCTATCTAAAATTTCTATACAGGCAAAGTTAATCTAATCTTATCTCCCCTAACAGGAAACAGAACTAAGTATTTGAAAGGAACTGAAAATACATCTCATTGTAAGAGAGGCATCATTCCTCTACTCCAATACATCTTCCACAGCAGGGAAGTGTAACTCCCCGGCTCTCATCCACATGTGTCATGTACCACTGGCCGCCTAAGTCAGAGTCACTGTAGTGACACGTCATCAGCAGGGATGAAAACTAAAGTACCTTATTTGGGATCTCACACAGCAGCCCAGCAAGATCCAGTGGCAATTTTGCTATGGGGGCTGCTGCCTCTGTACGGAGCAGCGTCGCTGGCTGGCTCCTGACCGTGTCGCGTCTCCGTTGCACCGCGGGCCGCAGAAGGGACGGTGACAGCGCCCAGAGACCGGGCTCTCCCCGGGCGCGGCCGCGGCGGCCCCTCACAGCCCCGGCCGCCCCTCACAGCCCCGCGCACCGCCCGCCCCTCAGGGCTCCCGCCGCCTCAGCGCCCCCGCCCCGCGCGCCCCGCTGTTGCTATGGCTCGGCGGGAGGCGACAGCCAATCAGGGCGCGGCAGGATATATCTGTCGCTGTTGCCAACGGCCGCGGACCAATGGGAAGGCGGCGGCGGGCGGCCCGAGGGCCAATGGGGAGGCGGTGTCGGCGGCGGGAACAGCCCCGAGCGGAGGGGAGCGGGCGGGCGGTGGCCGCGGCTGTGAGGGCAGGGCGGGCTCGTCCCTCACGGTGTTCGTGCGGCCCTACGAGCCCGGCAGCTTTGCTCCCTGTAGAAATGGCCGGTTCACTCACGGCCCCGCTGTTGACGGCAATAAACGACAACGTGTGTGACCTTTCCAAGCACCGCTGTTCCAACACAAACAAGAAAGGGGTTATTATTCCTAGTGAGATCCACCAAAATAATGGAGGCTTCAGGATCTCAGCACCCGCAAGTGTTCCCAGGGCAGCCGGTCCTGCCTTTTAATACATAATTGCCATGTGAAAGTTATCACTTCACATCCTTACCTTGAAAGAAATGAACTCTGGAGAAACAGTAAGTGAAAATCTTTACTTGAAAACTTTGTAACAAAAGGTAAGGGAGGCATCTTCCTCCTGTATATCCTGGAGGTTTGGCAATGGGGATGCATTTTGCAATACAGATTTTTTAAAAAACAGTAACACTTCAGAAAAATACCCAAAACCCCACCCTATAACTTGCAGGATTGGTTTAAACCTGCATGAAGGGCCTGCCTTGCTACTTATTAAACACCAATTCAATGGCATGGCCTAGCACTGAACATTCTGCTGTGCTCCAGTTTGTGTCACCTGTGGCACTACGGAGTATGGAACACTCCAGAAGTTACACCCTGCAGTACAACAGCAAGGCAGGGATAAGAAACAGCAGTATTTTACCAGCACTTACTGAGACCTTATTTTCCAAGCTTGAGAAAAGGTTATCCAATATCCACTGCAAGGCAATGTAACCAAATTTTACTCCTTTGAGCACAGGAGTTTCATTTACCTTCATGATGCAACCAAGGACTCGGATCTGGTCAGTGCTATGATTAGATCTATGTTACTGCCACAGAACCAGTGCCTTGATAATTTTAACATTTACAGTGCAGCTTCAGACAGCTCCAGGAAAAAACTGCAGTCCACAGTGCACCTTTGCTTTCTTCTATCCTTTGCAAAATTCTTACTAGAACTGTAACTAAACCAAACTTTGTAACCATTCAACACACATCCATCCTTCCTTCTCCCTTACTCTATTCCTCTCCCTGTCAAATTCCCCTTCTATTAAAAAAAAAGGGGAAAAAAGGAAGCAGTGGGGTATTTCCTGAGGAACTGCAGGCACATGGAGTGAATCTGCAGGCAGGTCACATCCGTCCACTGTCAGAAAATTCACAGAGCAGGCATGCTGCCTGGAACATGTCGTTGGTCAGTGAGTCAACAACTGGATCCTCGAGGACCTGAAAGACACGGGAAGGAACCAAAGCCTCACCAGGTGTGATTTTAACACAGTTGGTTATAGTGGAAGAGCTCCTTTGGGCAGGCAGCAGCACAAGGTGTGTGATGGGAGTGGTCAGGGCTGTGTGCGTGAAGCAGCAAAGACCTGCTTCCCTCCATGTTCAGGCAGAGTAATCCATCAGTGGGTGTAGAAGTGATGAGCACAATCCATGCCCAATCCAACTCCCAGGAATTCAGAGCAGAGCAATTCCCTTCACTTTGCCCTAGGCTTTGGCTCCTATAAAAGCCAGTAACTGAGAGTAAGACAGTAATTAAATAATTAAGGAAGTGATGTCCTGAACAAGGGAGCTCTGCTCAGGGAGAGAAAGAAATATCTCCAAAATGAATTAACTTTTTGTTTGTTTGCTTGCTTTCATTATAGTCTCATTTTGGTTCTAATAGGATGCGTTACCAACAAAAAAAAAAGTTGAGTTGTGTGGACAAAAGACAGTTTTCACCTGCACCTCTGTGGTTCAGGCATAGGAACCAAATATCTGCATATTCTTGCCAGAAGCCCAGAGTGAGTTGATTCAGCAAGAAGCAAAGTGCCCAGGAAGTCTGTAGAATGCTGTAAAATCATTTACCAATTCAAGCTCTTCCTTTTCATAGAGCACACGCTAAAATATGCAAAAATTGCTTTTCTGAATTCCTGAACTGAGTAATTATTACAAAGATTTGAAGATGTCCCATTTGACATCTACAAGCATCACTCAGTATCTTGCTCCCAGCCCGTAGTGTACTGAGTGTCATGTTTCTCCACCACTGCAAAAATCAGTGCAAGGATGCAGAACAGCAAGATGAAAACCAGCTAGAGACAGCCTGCTCTGGGAATCTTAGAAAAGGCTCATTCATTATTAATGCCCAAAGCTTTCCTTCTCGTCTGCCTTACATTATGGCTGGTAAAAAGGCCACTTTCCAAGATACAGATCTTTATATTGATGCTTTCAGGGGCTCAAAAGAGGTTCTGTTACTGCCCTCAGAGCTCAGCCACTTCTCATAATGAGGTCAGCAGATATGGGTCCTGCTTTTTGTAATCTCTTTTGAGATTACAAAAAAAGGTTTTCCCCAGCAGCTCACACTGGAGGGGAAACAGCAATGGATGCTGACTGACAGTTAGACCAACACACATGAAGCCAAAAAATACACCAATGTACAGCTTAGACAGGGCTTTCTTGGGTCTTATTTTTAGGTAACAATTCAGAGATGTGCTCCCATCCCCTTGGAAAGCACAAGATTTCTAACTTGTATTCTCTGCTGCCTTGAAGTCCCCATCAGAAGGCAGGCAGGCTGCATCCACAGCATGGAACTACCTTCTTTATCCTGCCCAAAAATCACACAGCTCTGTATACTGCCATCAGCCATCTCAGAGCAGTGCAAAACCCCTTCTCCTCAACAATAACACAGACTTGCAAATGAAAATTACATTAAACATTTTAAGAGATCTGAGAGAAGAGTCAAATTGTGCAATACACCTTAGAGAGGAGGACCTCAAGCAGCCATCTTTGTGCGATTGTTCTATAGGTGAGCCCTCCATTGCTGAAAATTTAAATGACACTTTGGATATACACAGGATCTTTGGGCCACCATTTCAATTACACATTTAGTAAAATTAGGGTCTGACCAGCAATTCAAGTAGGAAAAAACAAAACCACCTTTCCTTCTATTATCTGCTGGGTGTTAGCCAGGAAATGCCCAGCTTGCTCTGAACTGGACTTCAGAAGCTATGCTTAGATCAAACATGTTTCATACTGAATATGATATGAGATGTCACACCTCCTCTGAGAGAGCTGCAGGGGATTGTGTGTACAGAGCTCCGTTCTCTGAGCTTTAGGTGTGTTCTTACCTGGCTTTTTCCCAGGGCTTGGTTTTCTTCCACACAGGGTGCAGAATCAGGTGGGCACTGAGGATTGCCAAACACAGTCTGAGAGGAACTGGAAAAAATATTATATACAAGTGCATTTGTATTTATGTATTTGCCACTTACTGTAATGTTTTGCAGCAGGACAAGAGGGGTTCTTGTAAAGGCAATTCATTTGATAGAGTTCTGTTGTCTACATGCCTGCCCCATTTCTCCAAATTGTTATGACCTGAAAGTACAGGTTCTGCAGTGGGAAGACTGCCCTGACCAGGAGCAGTATACAGGGAATCACATCTCAATTTGCAACTTTGCTTCTGCCCCAAAACACTCTCCATAAACAAGGAGGTGTCTACCAAAGCTCCTGGAACATGTTTTAGAAGCAGACACCTTAAGAGTCAAAATATGTGGCTGTAGACAAAGACACAACATTGGCTATGCTTCTGTACAGCTTTCCAAGGCCACCAGTGGAGTCTGGGGACACGGCTTCCCCATCCACAGCCCCCTGGAGGCTCTGCCAGATCCCAAAACAGATCAGTCTGTGGGCACTGGATCAAGTAGCAGGCACTGGGGACTCAAGAATGGGATGTTCTCTCCCATCATCATGTACTCAAAAGTATCTTTAATGCAACAACAGTGCCCATACCACCAGGAACAGCCCAAGTGTGAGTGCCCATATGGGCACAGACAGGAGGTGCCCAATAGCAGAGTACAGGAAAGAAGTAGAACCAACAGGATAAGTGTCAAGTTGCCCTTCCTTGGAATGCTCCCCAGGTTCCAGCGATCAACCCTGGGACTCCTCTGCTGGAGGCTGCATTCAGAGTCACATTTGCTAATGACAAATGGGCTCAACTCCCTCTTCCACCCTCTCAAGCATTTGTCTCATGGTTTTTTGCAGCCCACTTACACCGACATACACAGTGCCCTTAGCAACGAGTTCTGCAATTCAGTTATGCAACGTTCCAAAAAGTAGCCTCTGTTGGTGGGTTTGGGACTCGCTGCCTGCCAGTGTCAGGAGGCTGGGCAGTCCAAAGGGGAGAACCCAACAGCAGGAGGATTCCCAGCACTCTGAGCTGGAATCCCAGAAATGCAGGCAGAAGCTGTAAGCTACCCTGAACATCTCGGCACTGACATTTTCTAAATCAATATGCTGGCTCATAAATGCAGAATGCCCTGCTCCACAGAGCTCAGTGTGCTTTTCTTTCTGAAATGGAAGGCACAAGATTTCCACTCTGCACAAACCATTAGCTGGGCTACATTCCACCTGACATTTGCAGAGTGAAGAGGATACACCACCACTATCTGTAAAAAAGGGAGCATCTGTTTGGTGTCCCACAGGGGCTTCCAGTCCCCTTGCTGGATCAAACCCTCCTCTCAGGCAGCAGAAGCAGATGGAGACAGTCAGCTTCCAGCCTGCTTCCCTCTCACACTCCCACCTCACAGCCCTGGAGATCAGAAGAGGTTTGGACACAGCCCAGGTGTGTAGGAGTGACTGTAAAAAGCCCATGAAAGAAATCAACAGGAATTGTTCTGATAAGCTTTGAGGCCACATCCTTTCCAGGTGAGCATCTTTAAAAATGAGACAAGCAGGTTAAGTAAAGGTCCTTTGGCTGACTTGTAGCTCTATCCCAGTGCTCAGGAAGCAAGGAGAGCATAACACTGAGTCCACTCCAGATAGGTGATCTTGGCTAAATAATTTCCTTCCCTTTGTGTTACTCTTATCTCTAAAACCAGGATAACATCAATGCCCTGTCCTTCCAGGACAGCAACACTCATTTGCCTTGACCAGCCAGATTGATCTCTTGCCCCAGGAGTCCCCAGAGGAGTGATGCTCATTGCACCATGACTGCTCAAGAGGACTCTGGTAACAATCCCTGACTCTGTTAGAAGGCTCTGCCTTACAACACAGGTGATCCCCACTGACTGAGCAGTGATCTTACCCAAGAATACCCACACGAGCTCTCCTGGCTCCCTAGAGAGAAACTGCAAAATGAAATTGCCGAAATTGCAGCCTAAGCGTCACTCACTTCTGAAAAAGATTGATGTTCCATAGCATTCCTGGAATTTTGAGGAGGTCAGGGCTTTGGGGGGACCTGGACCAGGCCACTAAACAGTGTTTACAAATAGGATTCAAATAACTATGTCCTCACCAAAAGGTGCCAACAAAGCAGCAAGTCCTGCCCCTCACAGGAATATGATAAAGGGTGTGTGGATGCCTGGCACACTGACATACCCAACAAGGAGGCATTCACCATAGATTTCTTCTACTGGCAGAACATATTTTAAAAATAAACATGAGCTCACTCCAGAGTCAGAACATGCAATTTTAAATCCAGCCAAAATATTACCAGCAAGCCTTGCTGATCTTTCATGATCTTTAGCCAGTGTTTAAAACTGTGAATCCTAAAACACAGCCTGAGGTTTACAATGCCTGACCTGGGTTCTCCCCAGCAATTCAGAGCAAGGAGTCTGACATGAATGTGAACACGGCACCAGGCCAAGTGAGAAACAGGGGTAAAAGGCAGAAATGTTTTCTGCAGGGAACTGGGACCAAAGCCTCACCAATCTTTATCTCCAGTGAATCACTGCATTTGCTTGTTATTTAACAAGCCACAAAGCCTTCTGTGCCTCTGCTTCCTCATTTTTAAAGTGGGAATAAAGCTTCTTCTACCTCTCTTTTTGACAAACTGACAGCATCATGCTGGCTCAAACGCTGGTCAGTGTCAAGCAGAAGGGTTATAAAATGGGGCTGCTGCTCCTGCTCTGTCTTGCAGATCAGTAAATTAAAGGAAGCCCATAATGTCTGGCAGCGTTTATTTTTATGTAACATTATGGAAGTTGTATAACATATGGAAAATTGCACGATTTTTTGTTGTTTTGCATTCTCTGAATTTATCTCAATTCCCAGAGAAAATCTGAACTCTGAAACCTTTGTTATAGGTGGAAAACAAAGAGAACAGTGCCTGTTTTTCCGTCTTCCAATTTGGAAAGCTTGCACTATGGAATAATCTTGTCATGAGGTTGTGAAGCTACAAAAACTATTTTAGGATTAAGTAACGGCCCTACCAACCCAGCCCACAGAACCAGCCCTCACTGGATCAGTACAGGTTATACTTTTCTGCCAAAATCAAGCAAATAGTTCAGAAACTGAACCCGCCTAAAAAGCAGGGGGTCATATCTTCTCTGATTAGTCTGGTTCCAAATCTCCTTTGTGCCACACACACATTTGTATATTTAGACAAGACTACCCATGTGCAGATATAAACACTGGCAAAGAAGGATGGACACAAGGAGAAGCAGTCTCTGGGAATGAGGTGTGTCACTTTTTCTGCAACTCTCTTCAACAGGGTATCAAGACATGGCTGGACTCTGTATCATTTTTATTCCTGCCTTTAGGCAGCCCTGTGCTTTCCCTCCTTTTACCTGTGAAGAATAGATTCCAGGGTCCCTAGCTGTCCTCCTCTAAGGATTAAGCTTTCATCCTGTAAATCTGACTGCTGAATGATTCTTTCTGAACTGGCTTCAACACGGCCACCTTGGGGGACCGTGCTCAAGGGGACTCTGACACCTGCTGAAGTAAATGCTCAAATTAGACACAAGTACAGATACAGATAACATGGCCTCAACCTCTGACCCAGCTATTCCTTCTCTCCTTTCTCCACATTCACCAGAGCCTGGGTGAATGGCAGTTACAGCCCTTCCTGCTCTACAGACCTACAGCAAAAGCAAGTGGGCATCACTTAGGCATCCTATCAAACCTATTCTGAAGAACAGGGAGAAGAAAAGAGACGGTGGGAATGTGGAACAAGACTGGACAGGAAGAAGACAAAGAGGAAGAGAGGAAAAAATAGCAAGAGAGAGAGGAAAGTGAAAACACATGCTTGAAGACAAGCATCATGTCACAGTTAAGTTCCCAGATTTTCTCAGACAATATCTTAATGATGACAGGCATTAAAAACCCAGAAGCTTGCAAATGGGCAAGGTGAGCAGACAACACCTGGAGGGACTCTCAATGGAAACACTAAAAGGAATCCACCACTATCTTATGGAAGTGGTTGCAGTTTAGGGAAAAGAGTAGGTAAGAATGTCTGTTTCAACACCTTAAATCAACAGCTTTTCTCACTGATCTATCATGGAAGAGGAACTCCAAAGCTCCAAATAAGCCCTGCTCTCCTTCATCATGTTACTTAAGTGAGCAACAATGTTTACAGCAATGGGAAGCAAAGCTTGGAAACTCTTAAAGCCAACAATCTGGGTGCAGTTTTACTAACCTTCTACACCTGGGGTCCACACAGAGCCAGAGACTCCTCCCATGCTGTAAGGGGCCCACCACATGGGCATCCAATAATTCACAGAGGGAAAGGACTCGTAAGAGTGCAGGACAAAGCTCTCCTGCCAGGGGCTGGCAGCAGCCCTGCTCACTGCTTCTCCAGGCAGCAGCACAGGAGAGCCAAAGCAGGTTCCTGGTTCCATCACAGCCTCAGTGCCAGAAGGTACAGGTTGTTCAGAGCTGTGAGTGGTGAACAAAGCCATGCTTGTTCCAGCTTCATACAGCTCAGGGCTCTGCATACAGCTGCAATGATGGAGAAAATGAATCAGCCAGACATATTGCTTTGCCAGAAGGGGACCCCCAGCTAAACTTCTGAATCCTGCCCTCCACAGCTGGGAGATGAACTGCTCTGACTGGACATGGAACATTTCCACCAGTGGTGGCAAGGCTCCCAAGTGATGTCCCCAAGGAACCGACATGGAAGTCAATTCCATGAATACATGTAAATGTTGCTTCATTTCTGAACTGTCACTGTAAAGATGCCATACATCACCTGGATTGCAGCATCTTTAAATATGTTCCTTCAGGAGGATTATACAGAGGTGCAGCTGTCTGTTCCCCTCCTGGCTCACAGGGCATGTGGTTTATCTCTATTTGTTCAGGGCTGGTGCCCACATGAGATCCACCTGAAAGGTGCAGGCCAGGCAGGTAAACAATGCTAATGATTACAACAAAAGGCAACAAAACAAGTCCCATCTGCCACATGCAGCAAGACCCCTGTGTTCCTTGTGATTGAAGTTTGATTAGTGTCTGTGGAAGGACATGGAAATACTGGGTTTTCCTGGAGTATACTGCCCTTACTGCAAAATCTGAGAGCTAAAACCTGCTGCTTCCCATGTATTTGCTTTCATTTGGTGCCTCCTTAAAGCCAGGCATCTCTTTTCACCTGTTGATGCACAGGTTAGCAGTGTCTGCTCCTCTGGAGTGACAGCCTGGAGCCAACAATGAGGCACTCCACTGAAGCAGAGTCCTCCAGCATCCACTTGATCCATCAGCACATAATGATGTTCTGAAGAAGCAATATCCTTCCCTTCCTGGAGGGAATTTAAAATTGATTTTCACCTCTCTGGACTACATCCTGAACCCATTAGGAAGAGACAAACCTGCAGTTTGTGGAGTGTTGGATCCTTTATCCTGTGGTTCATTTCTGTGGGAAGCCAAAGCCCTCTCAGGACACGAATTGTTGAGCTCTTCCGTATGAAGGAGGCGGGATTTTTGACGTCGTCGATAATTTGCAAACCAATTATAGACCTGAGTTGGCTGCAGGTTCATGGCCCGAGCCAATCCCTCCTGCAAACCCAGGTGCAGGGAGAAATCAAAGGAAAAAAATCACATCCAAATGATCAAGCATTTCCCTTCAGTTCCAAAAGCAGTCCAGAAAGAGACCTTCCAAAGCCAGAGACATTTACTCACTAGGTCTCCGATAGACCTAGTGGATCTGATCGAGACCATTTTATAAACTCAGAGCTGATAGAAAACACAAATTCCACCCTGCTCTCCCAGACAATCTGCTAAGGAAGCCACAGCTATTCTGTGCTGCTCACCAGATAATCCCTCAACAAACCATGCTCTTCCCACAGAATGACAGCTTCACAGAGGTAGACATTGGAGTCTGAAGCCCTCACCTGGCAAGGTAGTGATCAACAGTACTTGTTGATTTAATTTACACATCTCTTCCATTACAAATCTGTCCCTGTCCAAAGAAGGTAGATCCATGCATACACCAACACAGCCTATTGTGCTATCACATCAAATTACCAGCATTTTAAAAGTCAGCACAAAATATGTTCTGATGAACAAAGGGCAATTTTATATAGGCTGTTACTCAGTCAAGTCAGAACTATCTGTCATTGTAATAGAGCTCTGCTGAGTGATGGCTGTTTGGCTGCCTATGCTCAATCACTATAAAATTAAAACTGTTAAAAACCCAGTGAGGAATTTATTGCCCCTCAACTTTTTGTCCACACCAAGAGAAATTACTTAGCATGAACCTGATGATTTTTAAAATAAATCTTTAGGGAAAGATAAAATATGAGGAATCCCAGCCCCAGTGAGCCTTTTGAAAACAGGGATTATTTAGAAATTAAACCAGTTATAGACCCTAGATTGCAGTGTCCTGCTTTTCTGTGCCAAAGAGACTTGATTGGAATATCCCTACCATATCCCTACCCGCTGTTTCTTGTCTGGATTTGCTGTCACCTCTGCAGCAAACCTGTACAGGTGCTGGCGTACTTCTTCTGAATAGTTTCGATTCTTCAAACCTTCAGGACAAAGGGAAATAGGTGGAGGATTCCTGTATACAGGAGAAAATGGGATTAAAAAGGACCCAAAAGGAATAATTCACATTCATGGCAATTTTCTCACATTGCCACAAGTGGTCAAAATCCCAAGAAAAACCAAGCTCCAAGAAGCAGCACCTTGAGGTGTAAAACCAGCCCCTGCATCTAGAAACTACAGAGAAAAAAAATCCTGGTTTCCCCACTATGCAGTACCTCTTCCTGCAACGGAATTTCTGCAGTGGTGTCAGAGCATCTGTCTGCTGTTTCTCCATAACCCTCCGGTAGTGAATCTCATGCCAGAGTTGCACCAGTTCTTCCTTCTCTTCTGCCTCGCAATACTAAAACAAAACTGTGCATAAGCAAACCTTTCCAGAGAGTCACTCAGACTGTGCATAAAGGAGAAAACCCTCAACAGAAGTGTACTCAGGGATTCCCACTGGTTTGACAGAGCTAGTAGCATTATCTAAGCACATGGCTCGCTGTACCTTCCCTCAGGTACACAGGGAGTTGCCTAATTCCTTCTTTTCCCCGGTGCAAACGTCTGCATTAGCAGATCTAGAGGCCGAAAATCCCTCACCTTGAGTGGCACCATCCAGCCTTCCACAAATATTCCCACCCTGCCAAGCCCCCTAATCTTGGGCTTCCCAACACTTTAACGTCCTGAGCCCTAAGATTGTGAGAAACTCCAAGAACCACCACAGTAGAACAAAAATCCTGCTACAGCCAACGCCGCAATCACCCAGTTCCCTTTCTCCCCTTGGCTGATGAAGTGCCCGCAGCAAAGGCTTTGGCAGGTCGGCAATGCACACTTATCACCTTCCACAGTGAAGTGCTCCGTGTGCGGCACTTCAGGTACTTCAGCACTTACGGCTCCTAACTACTGTTTTTCTACCACGGCTTTTTGTTTCCATGAAGAACTGAAGAACACATCCCTACCTCCAGGAGTCTGCAGGCTGCATCATGTTGCCCTCTATGGATATGAACGGACACACAAGCTCGGACAACATGGATGTTAGTAAGAAAATCTCTCTTGTTCTTGCATTCCATCATGGCTTCAACCAGCTTCTCCAGACCAGGAGAAGAGCTCTGGAGCTCCCGGCAAAGCTGTCCTGCTAGATTCAGCAGTTTGGTGGGTGGGGGATGCTCATTTTCATTCTTCTTTAACATGGCCATGAACCGCTTCATCATCATGTCCTGTTGGAAGCTTTTTCTATGCAATGCACAAAGTTGTGGTTAGATAAAAACTCTTTATCTCCTATTTTTAGCTTCTATGGTATGTTTTTCTTTTTCTTTTTTTAAAAGGAAATAAATTCACTGTGCTGTTAAAAGCAGCCTAAGGACCTCAAAATGCCTAAAATAAAACTAAGGCCTAAAGCAGCCCTGAAAAGCTAAAGAGACACCAGGTTTGCAGGTGGGAAAACTGAGCTCAGAAAGACACATTAAACTTTCCCCAAAACTCAGAGACTAACTGCTTACAGGTCAAAACTCACAAAACATTAAGTCCAGGTGAAATTAATTCGGTGAAAATTCTCCAAAATTGCACGTGACAGGACCGCAGTTACTGTAAAATGTAAAACCCCCGTCGGGGCTGTTTCTCGCCCGTTTTCCTGGGGAAAGGACGCCGGCGCGATTCCCCGCACCCTCGGGCCAGCAAATCGGGGAGAAGCCGGGAAATAGCTGCGAAGAGAGGAGCAGCCCCTCGTGGCTGCTCCCGCAGCCGGCACGGCCCCCGCAGCCCCCCGCTCCGCTCCCGTCCTCACCGCAGCCTCGAGCGGCGTCCGAGCGCTCCGGGGGCGCGGCGGGGTCAGCAGCCGCCGGCGCGATCCCAGACACCGCCCCGGCGGGGCTCGGGGCTGCCCCGGCACCCCACCCCCAGCCCTGCCGAGGGCAGCTGACAGCCAGCTCCTTCCAGAGTAAAGAGGGGGTTGGAGTCGTTAATGGGGATCAGACACGCACTGAGAATTGTGACACACTTAGAGCGACTGAATGGAGAGGCACACAGATCAAACCCACCTTCTAAAGGTGGGTGCTGTCTAAAAACAGATGAATCATCCTGACTCCCTTTAGGGGGTAAAAAACTGAAGCAGCTACGATTTGCCTTGAATCAGATAGAACACCACCGTGAAGGTGTCAGTCCTCCCCTCACTCGTTTCCCGAGGACATGTAACAATGAGGAACCGGCAGGAGCCAGCAGCCCCCGGCAGGCACGGCTGGTGCGGCTGTGACCCCCTGAACCCGCACTTCAATATCCAGCTCGTGCCAACGCCCCGCAAAGACAAAGGCTACATGCTTGAGCGCAGGCAGCTTCCTCTTGCGGCGTGCAGACACGTTCTAAAACCTGCCCAGAACCCTGGGCAGCAACAACGACCTGCCAACAACCCTCGTGTGCTCAGTGGCTCTTGATCTCTCCTTAGGCTTTGGTGCTGGCCTTGAAAGACACTAACTGACTTCTGCTCTTGTGTGACACTGTTCGAGATCCAGACATGAAGACAGAAAATCCTGCATGATTACAAGACAAACCCCCAGCACTGAAGTTTGAGCTGAACATAGAAAGCAGTATTTTCTTTTGGTAATTGTTTTACTCACCAATTTTGTATTGCTGTTTGTGGAGTTACAACAAAACATCAGGTCACTTCATTTTCTGCATTTTACTTATTTACATGTATGAAAATTTAACAAGAATCTCTCACATCTTATCTTACATATTCACACAATCAGGTACACCTTGGAAGGGGAAGGGACAGGCTGCTGCCAGGCACATCAGATGCCAACTGGCACCGATCATTTCCAGCGACTGGAAGCTGACACCATCACACTGTGCTGCATCCAACTGCCCTTGAAAACCACTTGCACTCTCCCTCCTTCACCTCTGCTCTAACTGAAGTTTTGGCAACCAAGGACTGCAGCTACTTGAAATCAAGCTGAGGTCAGGTGATAGATACTGGCAAGCCAAGAGCTCAAATTCTTTTTTTCCAAGCACTTAATCAAATTCTGTTGAATATCAACAGCAATATTGCTCAGGTCCTCTTGGAGCCTCAATATGAATCCAACAGAGAGACTCTTCACTTCTACTTCCTTGCCACAAGGTAAAGCTTCTAGCTGTCTCCCTAAGAGATAGAACCCTGTTCACGGGGCACTAGCGTGCATCTTGTCCAGACAGTCAGTCCAGAAGGTAACGAGCCGGCTGTCTTTGTTCCAGCAGAAGTCTGTGAAGTCTTTCAGCAGCCGGTCTGCGAACTTCTCGTCGCCGGTGGCGCTGGAGCGCCAGGTTTTGGTCAGCATGGTGTTGTAGGCCCAGTTGTAGCCGATGCGCTCCTCACAGAACATGTTCTGGTTGGTGGAGCTGGTGGAGTTGCGCCGGCGCCGCTGCTGCCCGCTGGAAAACTTCCGCTTGGAATAGGGCAGCTGCAAAAACACTGTCCCTGCAGGGAACAGACAGCACTTCAGTCTGAGGCACACCTAGGTCCCCACTACTGGTAGCTGTGTCATTAAATTCTGAAGTGAAACTGGCCTGAGTTTCATTTAATTGCCTTTCAGCAAGAGAAAATGGGAAGCACTTTTCCCCCTTGGCCCTTAGGTGCTACTTCTTCCTGTATGTTACAACACCAGGAGGGAGTGCACTCCGTCTGCCTCTTACAAGCACATAATGAAGCAAAGATGTAGGCTCTGATCCATCTTGCTAACATCCCATCAATTTCCATTCTTTTCTGCAATTTTCCAAACACTGCCTTCCTGCCATTGTTTCACATCTCAGCAAGAGAAAATGGGATACACTTTTCCCCCTTGGCCCTTAGGTGCTACTTCTTCCTGTATGTTACAACACCAGGAGGGAGTGCACTTTGTCTGCCTTTCTCTTACAAGCACATAATGAAGCAAAGATGTAGGCTCTGATCCATCTTGCTAACATCCCATCAATTTCCATTCTCTTCTGCAATTTTCCAAACACTGCCTTCCTGCCATTGTTTCACATCTCAGCAAGCAGACCCTAAATGCTTGATCTATCTCCCACACAGTGTGTATGGGTAGAGATTCATCTACAACAGACCTTAAGCACAAGAACAGAGCACTGACTTGTCCCAGCACTTTTCCCTCCTTCTTGCTTCTGGGTACACATTTATTTACATTGACCTTGGAATAAACTTTGCCTTATTTCTTAAAAATTCATCTTCTGGAAAGAAAAGTTTCAGATCCACTGTAAAGCAGGATTTCAAACCAACACTATTTATTAGCAGCAACACTTCGTGCTTTTCATACTGCCCCCTCCAGTTTTCTGGTTTGTGTTTTCTGACACACCTACTTGTCATCTGGTTAGGGACAGAACAGTACCAACATCACTGACATGAAACACAAACCACATGTAAAATGGTTCTCTTGTTTGTAATAACCTCCTCCTTGCCACAGAGCCCCCCAAATATTGCTCACCTGTGACATGGATGTACTGGGGCTTGTTTTCTGCTGGGAAGTTGAATGCAGAGGCTGAGTATTTATCTTGTACAAATCCAAATCTGAAGAAATAGAGACAAGGGGAATTAAAAAAGAAAAGAAAACAAAAAGATAAAAAGAGCCACTCCAGGTAGAATTCCCCAGCCAAAGGCCAGGGCACCAGAGGAAATCCTTTCACTATCCCTTTCTTATGGCCTGAAGGCAAAAGGAAAAGGGATGAAAAGAGCTGAGCCTCTCCAAATAGTCTCTGCCCCTGCCAGACACAGTGTGAAAGCCTGTCACCCCACACTGCTCAGGCCTGTCCCCCCACACTGCTCAGGCCTGTCCCCCCACACTGCTCAGGCCTGTCACCCCACACTGCCTGTCACCCCACACTGCTCGGGCCTGTCACCCCACACTGCTCCCTGTCCTGACTTGAGCTGGAAACAAGAGCAGCAGCTCCATGCAGTCTCTGACAAAATGGGGCAGCTGCACATGAAAGAGGGAAGAGCAATAGTCAAGACAGATGCTCCCTAGGCATGTTTCAAGCTGCAACATTATTTTCATTATGTGCAATGTTCCATGCAGACTTCAAGAGGCTTACCTGGCAGCTCTCTGCCATTTGTAAGATACTTGTTCTTCTCCTGCTTTCTAAACTAATGAAAGCTGATTTCCAAGCTAAAGTCCATTACAAAAGGCAGGCCTCTCATGAAAAAACCCTGGCATCTACACCGTGAAAGAAACTGGCAGCTCAGTCACACAAAGGGATAAGGCTAGATAGTATCCAAAGCTTCCAGCAATTCCTTCTTAACCTGGGCCCAGCCTCCTCTGCAGAGCTCCCACCCCAGTCTCCTGCCTATTGTCAATCATCAGGTGTCATCCAGTTCAAGACTGTGCTAAACACACAAGAAGGAAATAACTGTTCCTTCTCAGGGAGAATCCATTTACAGCCTTTCTGCTTCTAACTTCGAGTAAGGGGCACCTTGCAAAGGCAAGGCTCTCCCTGGGAGCAGGGCATGGTTCCTAAGGAGTGAAACCCCACCAGCTGCCCCTTGCACCCGCAGAACACCCGGGGCATGGAGGCTGAATGTCAGTCTACCAGTCTGCATGCAGACTTCAGAGAGGAGACAGCACAGAGCCCAAGTGGCTCAGGAGAGACTGTTCAGCACAAGCCTCCATCCCACACTGTCCAGGGAGACAGGAACTGTTTGGTCACCCCACTCCACTGCAGACACACCTGTGTGCTATTGCTTCCTGGAGAAGGTGCATTCGGTCCCAGTATGTCTCTGGTTCAAAGCCTGAAACAGAAAAGCAACAATTATCTAGTAAAGCTACTTTATTTCCTTCCTTTTAAAGACTTCAGGTTTCCTCAGGAGGCCTCAGGGCACTCTTTTTTTCCCCTAGCCATTTTTTTCAGTCACACTTTTTTGCAGGTGTCCCTTAGAGATGTGTCTTGTGCACTCCAGTAGCAGACTCATATCTGAATTTACTATTTGTGTCTCTGGAGATGAAGAAGAGGAACATAAAGTGGGGGGGGTGTGGGGGGCCAAGGAAGAAGAGTGGGCTGCTGTGTATCACAAGAGTGCTCTGAAAATATTTAATTCAGTCAGTTGGGCTATGGTGACCTCATAGCATATGGATTTGTCACATTCATTGTGCAGTTACACCTGGACACTGAGTCAAGGGTTAATGAAAATATCAAATTTACTATGTTAAAACAGAGACTTTTGCTAATTGTCCCTCCTCATGATGCATTTTGCCCTTCTCTGCATGGGCACAGGTCTCTGATCTTGTGGTTCTACCTGAGGTTTACCACAACAGGCTCACTGGAAAGGGCGAGGTCACATTGCAGAAAAGGAGATTGCAGTTTCTCTGCTTAATCTCATGTGCAAACACTGGAACCATTAAAGTAACCATAGCAACAACAAAAGAAGGATGGCAGTGATGAAAGCCCAATCTTAGGGAGGGGGAGAATAAACAAATGCAGGATACAAATGCAGAGCAGCTGTGGGTCTACCAGCAAAACAGACACAAGAGTCTGTAAAACACCACAGCTACTGGATATGGGTCTGAAAGTGCACAGGGCAAGCAACACTGGGGCGACCACCCTTCCTGTGTGTTGGTGCTTCCTGCTGCCCACAATCAGCCTGCCAGCACAGCTTCCTCCAGCACCTCCTTCCTGAGGGGCTGCTGACCTGCAAAAACAGCTCCATCAGCCACCTAAGGCTGCCTGGTAAGGAGCTCCTTCATGTCAGCTCTGCACCAACCGTGGTCTGTTGGCACAAAGTACCCTGAGGGGTAAAAGAAAGTGCATTTCTTACCATCAAACAAATGCTCACTGCCCTCCTTCAGCAAGCAGCTCACGTTGAGTGGGATGAAGAGCTGAGCTCGAAGCGGGTCCCCGTACAGGTAACTGGGCAAAGCAAAGGGCCCTTCCAGCACCGGGACCAGCAGGAACCCACAGGAGGTGGCCTTCCTGTGCCAGCCCTGAACCTGAGCAGAAATCCACACAATGAATCACACACACATGCCAGCTGACGAAGGGCACTTATGTGCATAAGAGCAACTCATTCCCCCAGAATAGATCAGACATGCTCAATTCTGCCCCGGCTCAGCTTGCTCGGCATGGCAGGCACACCAACGTCCTTGCAAGCAAAGCAGTACAAGCACAAGACATCAGGCTTTCCTTTTTCTGAAGTGCTCCATCAATCAGAAAGCACTTTAAAATAGGACATTTTTCAGGAACTGATTCAGCCTACTTATCACCAGTGGCTAAACACTTCTGCTTTACTGGAACAGTGCAATTGATTTTAAATAAAAGCAAAACCAACTACCTAGTGCTGTCTGGCTGGGTGGGGTAAAACCTGGCATTAAATCATTTGAGTTTTACAGAAGCTACATTAGGGAAAAAATCTAAAAATGAATCTAAAAATTTAATCTAAAAATTAAAATGTGACATGTTTTCATTTCAAAATGTTTTCAGCAAGTTAAAAAAACCCTAAAACATTCCTGAGCAGGAAAACCACATTGCCTGGAAAAGCCCTGTTATGAAAGCAATTCCACTGAGATTTAAAGTTTTAAGGTTTGGGGATAGAAGGAATGTAATGTGAAACAGATTTTTTTCCAAAGACCTGGCTCAGGGCTTAAAGTTTGCCTAAGGGGGACTTAAATTTATCACCTTGATCTGTGTTGATCTCTGCATACTGTGCATAAAACCCACTGAAAGCAGAACACACTCAGCAGACAGAATGACTACAGCTGGTGTGATAAATGCTGACCAGATGCAGCAACGCTAACAACCACCAGGAAAATTACTTGTGGAAATAAAGGCAGATGCAAGCCACTGTCTCTCTCCTTCCTAACACAATGTCCCCAGTTGTCCAAGGGACACAGAGGCCAGAGAGGCATTTCTGTGGCTGCCCAGAACAGCAGGACCTCACCATCTCAAAAAGAACAGCTGCAGTCACTGCCATCCAGTGTAACTTGATTTCAAAGGCGGCGCTCAGGGAGAAGTTGCCGTGGTAGTAGCAGCTGCACCACTCCAGCCGGTCCGTGCGGTTGTTCACGTCCACGTCCAGCGTCACCGTGCGCTGCTCGGGCACCGTGGCGGCTGCACGGCCAGGGACAGTGTGCAGGAGAAGGTGCCAGACAGGATGAAGAGAACAGGAGAACCAAGATCAGTTATTTGAAACTCATTTGTCCTCCCATTCCTCCCCAGGTACTTTTGGGCTGGCAGAGAAGTCCCAGAATGCGGCTCCTCCAGATCACAAAAGACAAAAATCCTGAGGTGTTTCTCATGTCATGGGTATGTGCTACAGAATCACCTCCCCAAGCAGTCAAAAGACATTTCAGCTGCAATAAGGAGAGAGAACCAAGAATCCAGCAGTTAATCAATAGGCAACTGGTGCCATAATTATGCATGGCTAGACAACACCAGCCTCTTCATGCCCAAAACATTCCAAATATTTCTATATGCCTCCACCAGAAGTCACAACAGGGTGCTGTTGCATGGGGCAGGAGCATTCCAGGACTTTCCACAGCTAAAGGAGATTAGAAGTTAAACTTCTTGTTTCTTTAATCCCATATCAATATCCCACATTACCACACTGTTAAAACGGCACATCCAACACTTTCTGTAAAAGCACCAAGAGTCAGCCAAGACATGCAGCAACATTCTGACCACTGCAACAGCTCCCAGTGCTTTGCAGTAAGTGCTGGGATAGTGCCCAGGATCCAGCTCCCTTTGTGCCCCACACCCCAGCATCCTGGTGACAGAAACCCTCAGGCATCAGGCAGGAGAGGGAGAGAAGCACAGCAGTGGAAGTGACCTGGCTGGTGCCACACACAGGGCTGCAAGGCTGGGGACAGAACCCAGATCTCCTGACTTGGAGATCAAAGTCCTGCTATAAACACACCATCACCTTCAACTTTTTTTAGACAAATACAAAATTCAACATTTCTGTAATGTTAAAAATTGACAGAAAACAATGGGCTGCAAGGCTCCTATGAGAAAACTTCTACCCTTTTTATTATTGCATGCATAAAGGATGCATGTTATCTCTTGCTGAAGAAGATGACCACCCCTTGATTGGGTCAGCTTTTAAATTATCTTATAATTGATGGCTTGATGGTATTTAAAAAAAAAAAAAAAAACAACAACCTGAAATCCTTCCTCAGGTAGATGGAAAGTTCCTACCTTCACTGCTACTGCAAGTTACCTGGAGGCACTTTCAAGGTTATAAGGAAACCCTTTACACTGCTATTACTGCAGCGTAGAACATGAAAAATAAAAACACAACAAAAATGAAAGAACATCACCCATCATTATTTGTTTCATAACTAAGACCCATTTTTGTCTTTGGGAAATGTGTCATTTGCAATTTCTGAGTTGATCTGGTATTGTCAGACCAACACTGTTGAGTTTCTTTTTCTGGCTCCTTTGGGATATTGTGAACACCATACTTGTGGTCAGGAGGTTACGGTGCCAAATTTGTAACAAAGTGTGTTGGAAAACAACACCCTGGAAGCTGTGAAACCAAAGCAGCTCAGGCAGGTAGGTGCTGGTCATTAGCCAAGAGGTCAGTGATAACACCACAGCCCAGTGTGCCCAAACCAGCACACTGTGAAGAATGAGCTCCCTGCTCCCTTACACTCTTGCTTTTCCCAGAGAGTGCAGACTCCCTGCTAGGGCTGGACTGTCTCTGCCTTGTCTGCAGCTGCAGTTCACAGGCAAAGCCAGAGGAAACCAGTCCAACAAGGTGAGCTAATAAAAAATACATTAAATACTGATGAGAAACGTCCATGTGTCTGAATTCAGAAGCTTTTGATTAAAACCAACTTGTTTTAATAGAATATACTCTGGCTTCCATAGGTCAGACTTTAAGAGGACTCACCTGCTTCCCAATTGTCTTCTACTACTGAGTATGTAACTAAAGGTTTACTAAGCAAATCGGAGAGGAGCAGGCAGGTTATTCTCCAGTCAGACTCCACTACATACATGACTACAGTTGCTAGTGCATGCACTGCTACAAATCAAAGGGACAAGATTAGCTGTGTCACAGGTCAGACTTCCACTGGGAAGGGAAAGGGACAGTCACTGGGCAAGTGATTGGGAAACTGGGAGGGATAAAGATTTGAGAGATACATGGAGCTTGTTCCAGAGCTCCCAATGCTTGCATGCAATTTTATGTCACAGCTGACATTTAGGGAAGGTGGGGAGGGGAAGAAATAAAAACCACAACCTAATCAAGACCAAGAGGGGAACAAATGAAGTCACGTGGACCAGGGGTCATCTGGGTTTAGTAAAGCTCTTTACCTCAGATGAACTGCTGAAGTTTTTTTGGAATACTGTTTAGAAGAGGGACAGCACAGAAGCATCATTTAAATTAGTTTCTTTGTAAGAAAAACTTCCACACTCAATTTTTCTACAAGAAATTGTAATTCCTGGAGAACCCAGACTGCATGAGAGCAATCTGAAGGCATTTATCACTCATTCAAGGGCTGCAAATTAGTTAAATAGTAAAATGGACATAATCCCAACTGAAAGGACAAGGAGAGCTACTCAGGGGTGCAATACCCACATGCTGCAGGAATACCCTGCTCCTGGCTGGTGTTAAATGAAAGGTGAGGGGGACACTGAGGCACACTTCTGCTCATCCCCAGGGTGCAGGCCTGCTGAGTCTCAGTCTTCTCAGCTCACAAGAGAGCACAGACAGGAATGTGAACTGGTTTTCTCAGGCTAAATAGTGAGTAAGAGATCAAACCATGAAGAGGATCTGGCCCCAGTGCCTCCAGCCTCCACAAAACTTTCATGCCAGCCAGTTCAGGCTTCAGCTCTAGCCAGCCACTGAGCTAACGAGGCTGGATACCAGCCAAGGCAACAGATTTATCATGTGACAGGGAAAATAACCCGCATATGTTGACTTCAGGGAATTAAACATTGCTTCAGACTTGCCATCTTTAATGCTTTTGGATTTCTGATGCTGTTCCTCTTCAAACAAGGTTCTCAGAAATACACAAGAATTACTGTGACTTCAGGCTTAAGAGATAGTACACCTGCAGTAAGGCACTTATCTTCAGAAGGTCAAATATACACAACAGAAGAAAAGCAAAACTTTTCTTTTTATCCTTAATTGCTAGGCCTTTAACAGATGCATCTAAATAAACCTGAAGCTGCAGTTCCATAGCAATGATTTTTCTTTTAAACAAGGAAAGGAGAACAAAAGCAAGTGACTCAGGCTGGCCTGGAAATGTAACAAGAAGCTGACAAAGCAACAGGGTCAGTCACGCAGCCGGTGTGTTTCACGGGCTGTTAGAGGCACTCACGGTTACTCTCCACACATTAGAGAACATTAGATACTAATGGGATCTCGCCCAGCAGCAAGATCTTCCTACTGCTTCCATACCACAGGGATCATCTGCAGCTGGGCTCCACAGACGCATTAATGTCAGGAGTCTGCTTCAGATTAGCTAAAAAGCCTCCAGCACATCACAGAAAACTTCTAACACATCTGGACCTCCCTGTGGCTTTTGCCCCTAGGAAGCAATTAGACATGTAACTTTAAGAACAGTTTGGTTGCTTTGCTGCTCTCACCACTTGTCCCTCCATACTCCTTACGGGTTGTGAGCAGTCTCTCTGGATCTGCAAGGAGACAAAGTATCTTCCTCCCCAAATTCTAGAGGTTCAGCAAGAAGGAGTATTTTAAGAAATACTTTTTACTGTACTCCAGTACTCTGAAGCAAACATTTCCTGCCCAGCCAGTGAAACACACCTCCAGCACATGAGAGCGAGTCCACATGCAAGACACTGTAAGGCCAGCATGAAATTTGCAGCTTTACTGCTGGTCCACGTGAGATCATACCCTTGGCTGGCTGCTCTTCCCCTTTCAAACTATCCCCTGGCACTTCCCCAGCTGTCACCTGTGCTGTGCATCTACCTAAGAGTGCAGCTGCCTGGCTCCGTCCTCCGAAACTGCGGCTAAAGGAACTGTGCCTACTTGCATAGGAGGCGGGGCGGCTGGGCAGCCAGGGCAGCAGGAACGCCGGGATCTCCGAGTGCAGCAGCTCTTCTGCCACAAAGGCCACCTCAAACCACTTCCTCTGGAAGGCTGAGAAGTCGTCCATGGCAGCTGTGTGCCACATGGCAGGCTGCTGCAGCCCCACTGCACAAGGGGAAGGAATGTCCAGTTAGAAACAAGAGGACAAAGCTCCGACAGAAAATGTTCTTGATGAAAAAGAGGCAGGACAAAAATTACTTTATGTTTTCTGCTATTCTATTTTTTTTTTCCTTAACTAAAAGACCAAATTTCTCAGACTCTTGAGATCAGTGGTTATCAAGAACAGCCTAGTGATTATGCAAAGGGGTAGTGAGGAAAGTCTTGTAATAACAATGCTGACCTCGCTCTGGTTCTTTGTCCACAACAATCCTGTAAAAATAAAAGCCATAAATAAAGGCTTGATGAAAAAGAGGCAGGATAAAAATTACTTGATGTTTTTTGCTATTCTAATTTTTTTAATTTTTTTTTTTGTCCCTTAACTAAAAGGCCAAATTTCTCAGACTCTTGAGAGTGGTTTTGGTTGCTCCCAAAATGCATTCCTGCTGCAGCACCCCTAAGAATCAAGAACAGCCTAAGTGATTATGCAAAGGGATAGTGAGGAAAGTCTTGTAATAACAATGCTGACCTCGCTCTGGTTCTTTGTCCACAACAATCTTGTAAAAATAAAAGCCATAAATAAAGGTTCGTAGAGCTTCTCCAGATGCATGGACAATAAGCTGCTCTTCTAACATTTTCTGAACAAGAAAAAAGAAAGAACAGAACAGACATGATAAAGAAATCACTCTTCCAGTTACATAAAAAGGTTGCTAGAGAACATTAGGAAGTAATTTTCTTTTCCTTGGCATCTTTTTGTCCAGATATGTGCTTAACAAGAATATCAGAAAGTTATCTCTTGATATTCAGTAAATGTAGCAATTTCTCATCTCTCTGAGAAATTACATTTGACCTTTCTACAGATGTCTGTCTTCCTCCCATACCCTGCTCTGGTTTTATAGATGGATTTATAGAAGGTAAGAGTTTGGAAGCATTCTAAGTTCTCTGTTAATTGATATGGGATCTCAGCAGAGGAATGAATTCCAGAACATTTCCAACCTTCTGCCCCTGACACAGTTCAATACAGAAAAATCCCTTGATGAATACAAGCAGTGTTCCTGCATAAAGTGTGTCTGCTTCAGATCTGAAAGGTCATATGCTGGTTTTATTACAACTTTATTAACTAATTATCAGAAAGGAAAACCAAATCACAGCCCAGTGCCTCAATTCCAACACAATGCAGGGCACTTGATAAGTACCAGCTAATTGAAGATTATAAACAGAACTATCATCATATAAGTAGAAAAAAAATATGTATTATTAGTGAAGAATATGTTCCTGTTTTGTGATAGGGAATCCAAAAAATGTCACCATTACCTCGTATTCTGTTGAGCACTGCTTTTAATGCTCATCCATAAGAGGATTTTAATAAGTAACAGAAATTATTGCTATGCTTTCCTCTGAAACTTTACTTTCTTCACAGAGTGAGGCCTTTCTGGCCCTCCACATGCTCCTGGATAGTTTCCTTACCTGCATTATGTCAATGGCCATGGCCTGGGTGTGCACCCCTTCCACGTTGTTCACCAGCCAGTGCACAACTTCTGCACTGATGAAGCAGTAGGGGGAGAGGCCCTTCTGTTCAGAGAGCAGCTGGATGCCTGTGCTGAAGCACAGCAAGTCACACGTGTTAACACAGGCTGACCAAGAGCTCTCTTAGGTAACAAAGACAAAAATCACTGCTGGGGGAAAGAAAAAAAGGGAGAGGGAGGATAGAATACAGGACAAGAAATGCACAGTGCCCCTGGAGTGATGTCTCATTGGCTTTTGGTAACAAGATGAAGAGCTGTCATTGACAGCACTTTGGTGACTTACTGGGAATTCTTGATTTGACAAGGTTCTGGGACTCTAATAATTGAAGTCTTTGCTCGTACCTCAATTTCTATAAAATTCCTTATTAGAGAGTCTGGAACTGAATAACAAAAGGAAGTTTAAAACCCTTCAACAGCTGACATGGGCTCCCCTTTGAGTGATTCCACTTCTCATGTCCTCTTATTAAACATCTCACCACATGCTAAGCACATTTATATTGAAAACTTACGTGGGGTGTTTCATGGCTTCAAGAATCTCTACCAAAGTGGAGGAGGAAGTCAGAGCACTTGCTGAACACTGCTGAGAGCTGGGCAGTAAACAGAAGCACACTTAGAAATCAAGGAAGCTGCTAGATTTGTTCAAATATGTACATTTAAGAAAACTGCTCTCTTCTCAACAATGAGTTTGCCACATTTATTTCCTTTTTCATCTCAAGCACAACTAAAAGCATCAGATGAGTATTTCCCCCCTGAGGTCACCAGGTACTGCTATATGGACCCAGTGCACAATGTGTCACATCCACCTATATTCAGCAGCAATTGAGAGCAAACATTTTGAAGTTGGCTAATTTTCTTTTTACTGTAATATACAACCACAGGAAACAGGTGCTAATAAAGTTTATTTTCAATATTGCTTCCTCCCTGGTGTCTTGCTTCCAAGGTTAGAACCTCTTGGATTTCATCAACCTACTCAATCCAATTAGACCTGCAGCCCCCCCACCCCTTGCCAAAACACACAATGTCAATTCAAAGCCTGGTTTCCTACTAGCAGATTTCAGAAGTGGAATTTCTTCATTTCTTGAAGAATGAAGCCCTTCTTGTGGGTGGAGAAATCAGGCCTTGTGTTCATTTCATTCTGGAAAACTGGGTTGCAGGGCTTATTTTACTACCACTCTGTCTGCACGTGGAAATGCTGCAGTGAGGTCTTGTGACAAGTGCCTGCTCGTGCTGGCAGGCACAGCACAGCCTGTTCCCAGACTGCCCATTCCCTGACACCAGCGAGGGGCTGCAATGGAACAGCTCTGCAGTACAGCACTGCTGTCCTCTCCTACCTGCCCTCTGCAGCAGCAGCTGAGCTGTATCCTGGCTCTGCAGCATTCTGGGTGCCCCCCAGGGCCTGGCTGCTGCCCCTGTCAGGGACCTGCCCCGTGGCCAGCAAGGTGCTGCCATCTGAGGTTGCAGGAACTGATTGATCAATAGAGACCTGGGAGGAGCAAACACAGACACATCTCTATGAAATCCACCATGTAATCCATTTCCCATCTTCTCCCCTCCCCACATCATCCATGCCTCAGCCCAAGTTAGTCAACAACAAGCAATACCCTAAGGAAGCACAGGCATATGCAGGAGGGATAAATACAGTCTGACTCTGTCATCACTACAGAGCTCCTGACAAACAACAAATTCAGACCCAAATAAAGATGAGGATCACCAGCCCAGCAATAATTGCATTGAGAGAACTACTGGCAAACCAGCAACACCAGTCCAAACCTGACATTTTCAACCCAAGGGAATAACTATGATTGTAAGCACACAACAGGACACTTTATCACTATGGGAAGGTAGTAAGCATTCAGCAAATACAGTTTCAAGTCTAACTCTCAAAAATATGCAAATGTATCACACGAATTCAAGTTTCATAATGCTCAAAAAAAAAAAAAAAAACCCAGCTCATCTTGCCTCCTTTCTCAGGGCAGTATGAGAAGGCTGGTTGACACCCACCCACACCTATGTCGCCAAGACAACAGGAACACTTTCCTCCCGCAGGAACACTCGCACTATTCCAATGGTAGACTGAATAGTTCACAAAATTAACATAAAATCATTTCAGAAAGAGCATGAATGCTGAAGGATTCAGCTAAGTACAGGCTGTAATTGCCATCTGTCATTAACACGTATGGTTTAGTAAAGGCACATTATATAAAAGCTGGAGAGGTGGGGGAGAGAACACGAACGGCAGAGGAACTCTAACTCAGGCTGCTGTAAACATGGGGGCTGCTCTGCCGTGATGAATCCACAGCACACACACAGCTCAAAATCACAAAGCTGCTAGCTTGACTCAGGTCTGACTGCCAAAGTCCTTTATTTATGCCATTTCTCACACCCCGAAAGTCTCTAATGGCAGATGTCCCTTTTTGGGCAGCCAAAACCAGCAGGTGCTCCAGGGTCACCTCTACAGTGCCCACAGCCAGCATTTCCTATTCTCCCTCCTCAGGGCTCACTCCAAGCAGCAGCATTTCCTATGGCCACACTGTGCTACTGCTAATTCTTAACTGCTGTTAAGTGGACAAATGACTTCAGTCACAAGGACTCTTTTAAACCAAGATGATACTATGTATTTTCAGCCTCAGCTGTTCAGGAATCCAAGGAGAATTTGACTTGGATGTCTCCAGAGTCACCTGTCAAACACCACAGAAGAAATTTAGCCAAGAACCAGACAAGTGAGCTGTTGCCATTTTGTTCAGTGAGGGAAGATGGAAAACAAGCATTTACTGAAAAACAAAAAGAGCAGCTTTAGTAGTTGACATGACAGTACTGCAAAGGACAGTGAGACAGGGCACATGAACATCCAAAACACAGCACAAACATTGAATGGGGGAGAAAAATGCTTGCATCTGCCACTTTGTTCTGCCAGTGCTGTACACCTCACTCCCAATGAGAGTACCTGGAAACCAACCCAGGCTCGCAGTGTGTTAAGCCCAGGACACAGATGCTGTCCATCACCTCAATCCAAAGGCAGAGATGACAAGAAGCCATTCCAAACTAACCTGGGAGTAGAAGGTTGAAGCTGTGCGTGGGCTGCGAACAAAGTCCATAAAGAAGGCCCCATCCTGAAGGCATCAGAGGAAGTAGGCCCATTAATGGCAACAGCAACAAGGAGTTCAAGAAAAGCAAATACAAGGTTGTGCAAGTATGAAATGACCACAGAGAGAAAGTATGAGGAGAATGCAAATCCCAGACCCAGAAGGTCAGATGCAGCAGAATGCACAGCATCAGGAATTACTCACACACACATCTTTACTTTCTCTCTCTGTAACAAGACATTGCTCTTCCTTGGCACAGATGCTTTCCCAAAAATTTTAAACCCACACTGATCAGAAACCAATTGAAACTGCAGCCTTCCCTCCATACTTCAGAGAAAATCTTGAGCTCTGAATTATGGGGGCTTCCATCCCAAATACAAAACTGAAATACAGGAACCACAGGTGTAATGCCAAATATCCAAAGGACAGATTTTTTTCTAATATGAATGAGATTCAAATGATAAAGAGGGAAAGGCAAAGGAACTGTTTTCAGGAAGCACCCTCTTCCTCTTACATGCAGGTCTGGTATGGTGCAAAGGAAAGGGAAGAAAAACTCATCACAAAGATCCTTCCAACACTGTGTTTAATACTTCATGCAAAATTAAACAGACACTGCCTGTGCTATGCTCCTGCCTACTGACAAACCCTGGTGAATTTATCCCAGCTGCTATTCCAAGATGTGTCACGATTCTCTTATCACACAAGACAATGTAGTGGAACTCATCTAGATTTTCATTCCCTATTTGCAATTCTTTATTCTTTTCTCTTGGCAAAATATTTTTGTCTAGCCTGCAGTTAAGATGATGCTTACCTTGGTATGAACATATAAAACAGTTTTTGGGAAGAATCAATGCCAGGGTTACCTGACTGGCAATTCATATTGTGCAGAAGCAGAGCCAAGTGCCCTGGATCCAAAAGGGCAAAGACTTCCCAAACAGATCATGGATCAAGGGAACTCACTGGGTTAAAACCACAGTGTTGCCCAGTAACTGGCTCAAGTGACTTGTCAATTCTACTCTGAAACAAAGTGATGCAAAGCCAGTGGCTCAGTTTTCATCTGGAAAAACTCAAGCACTGAAGGGCATCCTAGAAAAGCACTTGCTCCCTTGGCTGCTGGCAGAGCTCACAGCTGTGATAATTTATCAATTCTCTGGCTGCAAGTGTGTGGAAAGCCAGACCTCCCTGTGCTGAGGAGCCCTGCAGGGGCTGTGACATGAGGCACACTCTGGCTGCTGTTCCCAAGTGAGCCCAAAGCTGCCTGCCCACTGGCATCTTTCCAACAGGCATAAGCCATCAATTAGGAGACTGCAATTGCTTATCTCCCAGTCCCTGTGTGTAAATATTTACAGGAGTGTTTACTGCTGCAGCATGAAAGGCCTTCAATTGATAACACACTCTTCCAGAGTCTCCAGCCTGCCTTCCAGAGAGCTTTTGAACATTAACATCACTCACAGTGGCATTTTGTGGTAGCACAGTCTGTTATTCTGGTCCCAGCACACTCCTGTGCCACTGCTAGGGAAGCCCACTTTGCCTTTTGCCCCCTCTGCCACACAGAACAACTGGACATAACATTCTCCTCTCCTGTTCCTCACATGGAATTTTCACCAGTTTTACTGGTAGAGAGGGACATTTAAGATCTCTGTATTTACAGAGAGAAGCTGATTTTTTCAAAATGGCAGAAGAGAAGCATGCAAAGCCTGAATTATGATGTGCAAGTTTGCACACACACCTCAAGTCAGTCTGAGCACCTGCTGTTTCCAGACCTGCTCCAGACTCATCTGTGCTCTCCCAACACTGACACTACAGTAAGTGTCTAGTACTAAGATGGTCACACTTGCTCTATCACTTCAGCTTTCAATATCTAGGTCTCCAGGATAACACAATACTTGTTCCTAGTGGTGGCACAAAACAGTGGATGTAGAAACATTAGATGCTTAGAGAAAAATGCTGAAAGAAGTGGTTGATAGTGGTGAATCTGAGAACTTTTTCTTTGCAATATTTGAACTGTTGAACCCAAGACAGGACACATTTAAGTCCTCTACCTTTATTCAGTTCCTCATTACTTCAGTTGAAAGACCTTCATGTCAGGACACAGAAAAATAATCAGATATTTCTGGTTGGACTTGGAGGTGGAGCTCCTGCTCTCCTAGCTCTCACAGGACAGTTGACAGAAAGGCTGAGGGACAGCCCAGTCTTTTCTTTAAGTGTCTCAAGAGAGCTCCAGGAAGATCACTTTCTCCAGCCTGGAGTCCAGCCAGTGAAGGAATGACATCTAAATCACTTCTCAGGAACACTCCCCCTCCTCTAAACAGAGGCAAGAGACTCAAGTTCCTGCTGCTAAAATCCCACTCAGTGTTCACACAGTCACAATCTAGAGGCTGATTTTGCTCTCCAAGACAGCCTGCACACAGATGCACAAAGCACTGTACTGCTACACCCAACAGTCAAGCCATGACTGAAATGAAATGTGCTACCAGCAAAGGAAATGCACTAATTAGCAAACAGCACTTAGATCAGCAAACTGCTGAGACAGCATCCCAGGGATTCCACTCCATTGTCACTCTTACAGAATTTAATTCCTCTGCCTCTGCACACAAAGGCCAGTACAGGAGCAGCCCTTGCTGGATTAGAGTGAAATGTGTATGATGTAGGCAAGTGCTCAGAGAAATAATCTTTGATTAACAGCAGCCAAAGCAAGGCCAGGCAGTGCTTACCTTCCGAGGGCTGTCCATATAGGTGGGTGTGATAGCAATGCTGCCACTCTCTGAAGGCTGGCCAGAGCTCTTGCCAGAAAGCATTGCTGCCTGCTGCTCCCCCAGAGTCCTACAAGAAAGGGAAGGAATACAGAGTTTATTCAAACAAATATGTGTCAGCTTCCCCCAAAGGCAACTGCTGCAGAGGGATACTGGTGTATTTTCAGATATTTGCTTTCCCACACACTGAGGCACAGATCCAACATTCCTTAAGTACCTTTTGCCCCCACAAACAACATGGACCCTTGAACTCAGTTTTATTATGCATGTGTAATACTAATTTAGCATTAAAAATATTAATCTCCTATGAATTTAACACAACATGAGGAAAAGTTCCCCAAATGTGCTTTAGGTGCAATATGCAGGAAGGATGTTCTTGGCTCTTCACACAGCCTGCAGAGACTCACTTCTGACTGGCTTCCATCTGCAGCAGAGCTGAGAGTGCTGAGGTTCCTTTTTTCCCAATGGGAGGCCCAGACTGCTCCAGGGAGTGAGTGGGGATTGGACCAGCAATCTGCAAGCCTTTCATGGCAGACCCTTTCTAAGAAAAAATGGAAGCACAGACTTAGTCAAGCTAGGCTTAACTAGTAAGCAAGAACACAACACCTCATGTCAGCAGGGCTTTATTAAGCACACTTTAAAAAGGGAGTCAAACCACTGGTACAAAAGAAGTGGAATAGCCTAGTGTATTTTGTGGATGTTATTCTGAAAATAAAATGTTTGTTATTCTGGGAAAGGTGAATTTGCTTCAAAATAAATTACTCAGTCTACTGTGAGAATGGGAATAGGATTTAACACAGTTTCTCTTCAGCCTCTTGAAACTACTGTTTACCAAAAAATCCACTCACATATTTCTCTTTTCCCAATTCTTCTCCTGAATGTGCAGCACAGAACCAATCCAGGTTAACCCAGAAGTGACCAGCTTAACTACCCCAGAGCTCTTTGGATGAACTGTCTGCACCACAGGGCAGAGTGGTGCACCCAGGCTAAGGCCACCTGCAGCACAAAGCAGAGCACACCTGCAAAGAGGAGGCAGAGCTCCTGGGTAACAAAAGACTGGCCATGGTACAAAACAGAGCAGTGCCAGGCCAAGACAGTGCAGAAGAGCCTGAGCAAGAACTGCCCTGAGCCTGGGTCCAGTCACAGCAGCACGGGATGCTCATCCCAGGGAAATTCCCTTCAAGCCATTGAAGGAAACAGCTCTGTTTGCTCTCCCAAAACATCACTTCTGTGCTGCAAAACCAGTACACTGAGCCCTACAGTCTGAAAGCTGACCCAGCACACGGGTCAGCAGTGTCCTTCAGGGGTGGATGACACTGACACCGTGCCCCAGGGTCAGCAGTGTCCCTTAGGGATGGATGACAGGGACACAGCACCGTGCCCCAGGGTCAGCAGTGTCCTTCAGGGATGGATGACACTGACACCGTGCCCCAGGGTCAGCAGTGTCCTTCAGGGATGGGTGACACTGACACCATGCCCCAGGGTCAGCAGTGTCCTTCAGGGATGGATGACACTGACACCGTGCCCCAGGGTCAGCAGTGTCCTTCAGGGATGGGTGACACTGACACCGTGCCCCAGGGTCTCCCTGTCACCTCGTTCGCGGCCCGGGTCACACCCAGCCCAGCGGGACTCACTCGGATCATTCGATCGGAGCGGTGGCGGCGGCGGATGCGGTTCAAGCCCTCCACGAAGCGGATGAAGCCGTCGAGGAGCTGCCACTCCTCCTCGTCCGAGCGGGGCTTGTCGCCGTACACGTCGCAGTGCGCCTCCCCCTCCATGATGCGCTTGGTGGCGCTGATGCAGGCGGGCAGCAGCAGGAACCGCGTCCTCCAGAACTTCAGCGACTCGATGAGGCTGCAGCAACGTGGAAGGCAGGAGAGTTCAGCACTTTAGATTCTGGAAAACCCTTCCCAGGAAAGTGTACATCTTTATACCTGCTGCACGTTTCAGTGAGTGCACGACCACCCTCGCTGCTGTCCCCGAGACAGAACGAGCACAAGTGCGAAGCAATGGTCAGCTTTTTGACTGATTGATTTGATTCTCAATTTGAGTATCACTGGCAACAAGGCTACCCTCAGAGTAATTGTCACACAGTGATATCCTTGCTGTTCTCTAAAAGATAGGCCCCAAAAGCTTTTTCTCTAAAAATATGCAAGCAAAAAGGAATTTTCAAGGTGCACATTAGCGTAGGAGGTATTTTGACTGAGACCTGAAAAGAAAAGATGATAAAGACTGGTTGTGTGGAGAGAAGATATCAAAAAAGCTATTGATACTAGTGGAGGTATTCCACATTTCTGGTAAGCACTTGCTCCACAGCTTAGGAGCAGGACTGCATGTCAAGCCCAGCACTCAAGCAAATCTGCAAGAGCTTCAAAATAAATGGAAGTTTTGAGTCAGATCCAGAAATCAGTAAGAAGCCAAGAAAAGCATCTGTGGGGTACAAAATGCTATCTTATTTCTTTGCATTTGTAGCAGAGGAGAAAAGAAGTTCGTGCTGAATTTTGAGATCAAGAGTCTGTATCAAGGGTCAGATGAAGCAGCAGCAACACAGAGCAAGGCTCCCACAAGGCAACAGCTGCTGGAAGCTGACAGTGAAAGCAGGCCAGATATTCTCCCTGGAGTACTGAGCACTCGTGGGTTGAACTTGATGATGAAATTTTAGGTCAAAAAGAAAAAGAGGCAATTAGGACACAGAACAGTCTGGATGGAAAAGAAGCTCTCACCTGAAATCCTCTGAGCCAGCAGAGCAGATATATTGATCCAAGTAATTCCACTTGTACTCTTCTAGTCTCTCATGGGAAAATTCCACCCAGCAAGAGACAAATTCAGAGTCAGAGTGTGAGGGGCACAAGCTGTAGGTGTAGTTTATCTGAGCAGATTCATATGGATACCTAAAAGATCAAACACAAGCATTAACCTCAGTATTATTGACACTGATGCTTCTCTTTCTTCTCCTAACCAGAAAGGTGCTCTTTCAAGCAAGCACAGAGCTGCAGAAGAATGCTCCTCTGAACACTGACAGCAAGCTGCTCAAGCAGAGAGATACTCACTTTGGCAGGTACCGAGTCACAGTGATTATTTTGTCTTTTAAGGTGACTTTGTGGAAGGTACGGCCCATGCTCAGCCAGTACTGATCCTCTTCCTCAGGTCTATTTCTCGACACAAGACCTGGTTGTAAAAAGCAAAACCCTTTCAGCTTACTGCAGTACTCAGAACTTGATCAACAAACTGTGCCTATAGGAAGAGACTCCTGAAATGGAGTCCAGAAGCAGGCTTCTGATCTCAGCAAACCCAGCTTTCAGGCCACATTTCTAGGGAGCAGTTGCACAAGGAGTCTTTTGCTCTTACAGTTAAGATTTGCTGATAGCCTAAGCAAAAAAGAGCACTTGGGATTCATACACCACCCATTCAGAACTTCCCTGGGCAGAGCCAGCAAAGAACAGCCAACATAAAGTGATGAGCAACGGGTGGATGTGCCTAACTCGAGGTCACTGGGACTGGCAGAAGAGAAAAGGCTGACTTGGCCAGGCCAGGAGACTCACCTCTGCTGTAGAGGGGACTGCTGCTGAGCGGGGGCGGCACGGCCGGGGCCGGCTTCTGCGGCTTGGGCTGCACAATGATCTGATAGCCCTGCATGAGGCGCTGGCAGATGAACTCCTCAAACACCTGCTGGGCTGTCATCTGCACGCCCTCCTCATCCCTCCTGGACACAAAGGTTAAGCAGAGCAGAGTAAGGAAGCTGACCACACACCTGCTCTTAGCTCTGCTCTGCGCCCTGGGAACACCTGCCCGTGGGAGCAGGAGGGAAAAGGGGCACCTTTTGACACAGGGTGATGAACTGGCTGGCAATATTTACTGCTGCCTTTGAAAGCAGTTTGGCAACCAGTAACAAATTTGCCTACACAGTTGTGGAACAATAAATTCCCCAAAGATGACTTGTCCAGCACTTTGCAGGCAGCCTCAGTGCAGTTTGTACATGCTCAGGAGAGCTCAGAATGCCAGTGGGCAGCAAGGCTCCAGCCCCTCCCACAGTGGGAAGTGGAGAGCAGGGAGGGATTAGAGAACACATTCATCTCAGTGCAGCTCCTGCTCTGAACTTTGCCTTCCTACTGACAGTTCTTTCAGGTGTTTCTTCATTAATCCTATTACTTCCTATGTATTTCAACCACCCTGATTAATACTTTTGTTTTGCTCCCATAAAGCAGCCGAGCAGGTCTTTTGATGTCTTACAAGTTCTAGAAAGACTGAAAAAAATTTAAGATAATGAGACTGCTTCAGTAAAAATCAAACTAACCCTATTTAAAGAATAGCTACCAGAGACCTCTGAGACAAGCAGAGAAGTTCTGTTTGTCCTAATTCTAATTCTGTTTTCCAACAAGATTCTTTAAACTAAATATCCTTTAGAGTGAGGATAAATATCTTAAATACTGTGTCCACATGCATTTGCTCATTTAGTGTTTCCAAAACACTTGCTAGAAAGTAGATTAACAGGGATGATAGTTTGAGTGTTTTGATCAAAACATAACAGAAAAGAGACAAAAATTTGTATCTAAACAATTTCTAACATCAAATCTACAGAGCACACCATACTGTCAGGTGGGAACATCAGAAAAGGCCCAAAGCTATCACTGGAAAAAAAAAAAAAAGAAAAATATAAGTATTCTGCTGCTCTGTCAGCAATCCACCATCCAGCTTCAGTAAAAATCAAACTAACCCTATTTAAAGAATAGCTACCAGAGACCTCTGAGACAAGCAGAGAAGTTCTGTTTGTCCTAATTCTAATTCTGTTTTCCAACAAGATTCTTTAAACTAAATATCCTTTAGAGTGAGGATAAATATCTTAAATACTGTGTCCTCATGCATTTGCTCATTTAGTGTTTCCAAAACACTTGCTAGAAAGTAGATTTACAGAGATGATAGCTTGAATATTTTGATCAAAACACAAGAGAAAAGAGACATAAAAATTTCTCTCCAAACAATTTCTAACATCAAATCTACAGAGCACACCATACTGTCAGGTGGGAACATCAGAAAAGGCCCAAAGCTATCACTGGAAAAAAAAAAAAAGAAAAATATAAGTATTCTGCTGCTCTGTCAGCAATCCACCATCCACTTGCACAACTGCAGGGATCCTCTTCCATCACCTGCTCCTTAAGCACAGGGCTGCAGACGAGGTGCTGGCCAAACCTGTCCATGTCAGCCTCTGGCAGCAGGTCGTAGCAGCCCTCGGTGTAATCGTTCTGCAGGCTCTGGCGGTCGGGGAAGTAATCGGTGGTGAGGGGCAGGCAGGCCGGCGTGGTCAGGGACTTCCAGTCCACTCCAACTGTACAACAGAAGCCTGGCACTATGGGGGGAGCAGACAGCGTCAGAACTGCCTCGTCGTGTCATGGGGGCACACAAGGGGGGCACGTGTGGTCACCCATGGAAAAGCAGGGTGCGGAGCAGGATGGAAGGAGTGCACCAAGAGGAGGGTTTAAAGGAATGAGAGACAAAACAGTTGGCATAAAGTCAACAGGGACAAAAAGGGGTGTGGAATGGGAAGGGAAAAAGAAAATAGGATGGGAAGAAGGGAGGGAGAGAAAGAGACAGAGTTTGTTAAACAATGCAGTGCACATGCTGATTCAATCCCATCATGCAAAAGGCATTCAAAGTTAATACATTTAATTTCCTCTCGATTGAAAGCTAGAGCTGACATAGCCACTGCTCTTCCAAAATTACAGCAAGTCAGGTGCAGTTACTGATTATTAATAAACAGATCAACATTCCAAGTCTGAACAAGAAAATCAGACCAGTTTTGCATCCTAGACAACTGCAGAAGGAGCTGGAGAGGAGGAGAGAAAGAATGACAGACCAGCCTCTTTCTGGAATAGTACAACAGCAGAAAAGGGAGTATTCCCACAGTTATAAAAACAGAAGATATATCCAGAGGGGTGGGAAGACCAGAAAAATAGTAACTTGGAAAGCAATCTTTTCCCACACCCTTTCCTAGAGTTATGCTGCAGTTTTGAGATTACAGAGATGTAAAAGTAGACATTAAAAAGGAAAAGCTAACTAGATGATACCAAATCATCAGCTCATCAATGCATTGCATTCTGACCCAATTCAAACAATCTGTATCACCTACTGATGCTTAACTTCTTGTCATAGAGCTCCTACAGACAGAAATTTATTTTACTATGAAACTGTTAACACTAATGGCAGGAACACTGCACAAGAAAGTCATACACAACTGACTACTATCAAGAAAATGCTTTCTTAAGCAGTGACACACTTGTTTCTCTAGGAAGTGAAGGCAGATATTTCTCAGTAAATGGTACCAAATTCAGAAACTGACTGTACTAATTCTACTTCAACAAGCTGGTACCAAACAAACTTTTCATACTGAGAGGCAGATAAGAGTTCAGCAGCTTTAGCTTTTTGCAGAATAGTGTCTGCTAAGGAAAGAATTTCAGCTGTAACACAACAAACAGCTTCACATGCTCTTAAGAACTACGGAACTGCAATCACAGTGAGGCAGTACAGGCAGATCCTGCAAATTACTGCAGGCCAAAATAAACCTCTGCCAAAAGCCAGGGAGGCTCCTCAGTTTCTTGCCTACCACCTCCTGATGCCTCTATATATGTACATGCCCTTTCCCTCCCCATCTTCCCACCTATGCAAACTCTCTTCCAAACCTTTCTCCTGCTTACTTGGATCTGGAGAATTAGAGACAGCATCTTCCAAGGAATCTTTGTTCTGAGTTTTGAGGTTCACCCCTACAAGAAAGAAATGGTTTCTTATTTTGAACAATCATGCACTTCTCATGGATTTCAAATAAAAATAAAAGCATGATGATGTTTTAAGATACAGAATTTCTCTGCATGGAAAATGCCAGGGTTCTGCACAGGAGAAAAAAAACACTAAGCCAATTAATGAGGAAAAAATATATCTTGGATCAAATTCGAACTTCTCACTAGAAGGGCTCAGTAGCTAACACCCAAACAAAACTCTCCTCACCAAAATGGTGAAACATCTTGAAAAGTAGATGCTATAAGCTCCTATAAACAGCTGGTGTGGCATATGACAGAAAAGGAGATGCTAAGGAGACAAGAAAAACTGCCATTTATCAAAATCAGTAAGCCTCCAAACATTTAGAAGGGACTACTGTTTAAAACTAGCTTAGGTGGATTTACCTAGGAAATTGGTATCAGCACCGTGGCTGTTCCCCTGTAAGAGAAAGGGTGGATTTCTGGTATGTGATGATGCCAGTAACCTGCAGGGGAGCTGGCTCGAGTGGCCTTCACCTTCCACCAGCTCCTCCTGCCACCTGCCATCCACACCGGGAACTGCAGCTGCAGGATTCCCTTCTCCGAGCCACTACCTCCATCTGCGGGGCAGCTCAGAGCCCAAGGGAAATAGAGGGCATCATTTTTCACTCTGAAGCTTGTGATGCACCACACCATGCTGCAGGCAGCAGGGGAGAACCAGACTCAGTAAGAAACCGCATTTCTGGGAATTCCAAAAACCACAACTGCTCCCAGACTGCTTCATTTCATAATGACTCAAACCATAAGGGAGAGCTCTCAGCCCAACCACTGAGTAACCAGAGTGGCCCCTATACACAGGTGAGGGTCTACAGACCCAAAGAAATTCCATAAATGCAACAGTGTTTATTGTAAATGCTCTGCATTTACACTGTGCAAACTGCAGCCAGCTGAAATGCAGTTTAGCAATTGCAAAAACAAACAGAGCCTATCTGGAAGGCAGAAAATACCAAAAATGTAAAGCAACAAAATTAAATATAATCAAAAGAAATTCACAGAAGAAAGCAACAGAAATAATTTTAAATGTGACTATATGAATACAAGATGAGGCACAAGAAAATTAAGTCGGCTAACTTCTTTATGGTTCTGCAAGGCATAATGGAAAACAAAAATGTCTTAATCCAGTGTAATTCAGAAGGGCAAATTTATTCTTAAAAAAATGTATCTTTAAATTGGTTTTGAGAAAAGAACGTCAAATTATTTTTGAGAAAATAAGTCTTGAATGCTGTAGTCCAAAAGTTCAACTTTTTTCCATGTGCCTAACTAAAATGCATATCTACAAAAGCAGAGGGTAGGTCACAAACAGACAACACAGCAGAATGTTTAACATGGCATGCTGTTCCCATTTACAGGGCTGAAAAGAAATGTTGAGAATTTTCACTAATTCAGGTGTCTGGGTAAGTTAAGGAAGATAGAGGTAATTTTCAATTGAAAGTAGAGACATATCTTTTCTCTAAAGGATAACAGCTTAAGGCAACCCCACCAAAAAAAAAAAAAGCCTTCTGAACACCAGTGCACATTTAGCTATTTTTTGTGTCTGAACATCACTGCTCTGTTATTAGGGAACTCAGTTACTGCCTGAGAGCTCATTATCAGTAAACAATGAGCATCTTTCTATAACAAACCTTACAATACACACCTAGAGAAGCAGAGGTATATTAAACAAAACTAAAACCAACAAAGCAACCCCAAGAACAACCATACACCAAGAAGTCCAAGTAACGATCAGTGTTTTCCCGCTTTCGACTCCTCCTGCTTTGCCTGCCTGTCCCCCCAGCCCCGGCCCCGCTGTCCCTGGCCCCGCTGTCCCTGGCCCGGCCCTGCTGTCCCCGTCCTGCCCCCGCTGTCCCTGGCCCCGCTGTCCCTGGCCCGGCCCCGCTGTCCCTGTCCCTGCTGTCCCTGTCCTGGCCCCGCTGTCCCTGACCCGGCTGTCCCTGCCCTAGCCCCACTGTCCCTGTCCCCGCTGTCCCTGCCCCGTTACCTGCGCCGGGGCCGGCCCCCAGCCCGTTCCCGTACTCCTCTGCCCCGCCGAAGCTCAGGAAGGAGCCACTCTCCCCTGGATGCCGGGAGCTGACGTGTCTGCAGAGAAACAAAGCAGGGTGTTTTGAGCAGCCTTCCTCACTAGTGCCATCCCCTGCTCTTAGCAAATGTACCAAGGAGCCCCGAGCCCCTCGTGCCTCGGCCCAGCCCGGGCTGGAACAAGCTCTTCCTCACTGGTGTGGGCAGAGATAACGGCACAAGGGCAGCACAGAGAAGGCTGTGACAGCCTTCCATAAATGTCCACACTGTTTGTTTGCCTGCAGCAGGAACCAAAACACTGCCTTTGCAGGACAGCAAAGAACCAGCCACTCACATCCCTTCAGGAGAGAAATAGAGCTTAGCTGGTTATCTACAGACCTGATCTCATGGTCTACAAACCCAACATTGAAGAGTGAGCAAATGGCTCACCTGCCAGTTGCCTCATGGTAAGCCAGCTCCAGCAGCTCTGCAGAGGAATGTGTCAAATCCTGCTGCCCACTGCCCTGCATTTCTGCCATGTTCTGCCGGGTCTGATGATGGATCTGGATAGCTTCTCCTGAGGGACCTGCACAGGTACAATTGGATCACTGATCACCACATCTGCACTGATTTCTCAGTTGCTTTTCCTCTCTTTTGCCAACAGCATAAGCAATGAGAGCTAATGGACATTAAAAAAGCATGTTCACAAAATCTTCAAAGCCTTGAACCTCTGCCATGTCCTCTGAAACAAAGTATTTTTTAAAACACTTCGGAGGGCCTACTTACAAGGCATTAAACAATTATGCAAACAATTCGGCATCAGAAAATCAACCCAAATTGTAGTTACAATTCCCTTCAACAGGGTTAGGCTCCCTTGAACAGGGAATTGCTCTGTACCTGTTGCTGCTCGTTTGCAAATAGAGGTATTTCCCAAAAGAGGACTGCTCGGGCCTGCACACAAATGAGTGTGGTGTGCAGAGCGCTTTAACACACCAGAGCTGTCACGGGCTCTCTTGCTGTGCCAGTCCCGGGTTACACAGGGGCAGCTCACCCACGGGGAAGGTGTGCATCCAGCGCCTGCGGTTGGAGGTCAGCTTCATGGGCATGCGGGACGGGGCGAAGGGGTTGATGAGGGCGCGCTGGGGCGCGTAGCCGCCCGGGCGGATGTGCAGCAGCGACTCCGCGCTGCCCACGTGGAAGCGCCCCGGGGCGCTGGAGTCGCGCTGCTGCGACTCCAGTGTGCTCTCGAGGAAATCTGCAAAACACCAAACCAAGCCAGCGTCAGGCCCTGTGTAGCAGGCCTAGGGCCTGCGAGGCCTTGGCAGGCAGAGGCCTAAAGCTAGGAAACACCAAGTCAGCATGACTGGGCCCTAGCAGCCCCTCTTATTCCTCCTTCGGACCCTGCTTATCTCTCTGTAAGCCCATAGGTCACTTTCCCCTGACCCTTACTATTGGACAGTTTTCAAAACCCCTGGTAGGGTATAAAAACCCCTGATTCTGCCTGGTTCAGCAGAAAAGCTGTCCCTGGGAACCTTCACGGAACACCTGAAGAATAAAGAATCCTGCAGAACCTCACACGGCCTTCTCCTCTCTCTCCCTGCGTCTGCTGCTGCGGCATCTGGCAAGCTCCGAGCTGAAATCACTGAGCTGATAATCACTAAGAGCTGAAAATCACTATAGCTTGCTTAGGTGGCCTGAGCTCCCGCTGAGTTATCCCGGCTCCGGCACCCCCAATGGGCCGGAGATAGTCCTGCAGGAGCCAAGTACATGAGAATTAACTGCTCAGGGATATAAAGCCTGCCCAGGGTAAGGGGAATAAGGAGACCTAAGAAATGAGCAGGAAGAGAAGTTGAAGCAATTTCTGTCCAGCCTGAAAGTTACAATGTAAACAAGAACCCAGACAAGAAGAAAGCATTACTCCATCTGCCATTACAGCACTGCTGTAAACTGTAAACTTCTACTAAATGAATCCATTAAGAAACCACTTGCTAAGACAGTTATGAAGGGCTACTCAGACCGTAGAGAATTCTTGAGAAATCAAAAGACTGACATAAAAACTTCAGGATGAGTACCAAAGCCAGAGCTGAGCCTTGTACACGTGCCTTTTCTGTAACACTCAGATCTGAGCACTGAAATCAGGGATTACTCCCAGAAGACGTGGAACCTGATCTCCACCAGATATCAGTTGTCACTATTCAGTGTGGAACAGAAATGCAGTTATTTAGAAATAGGAGAGAAAATACCAGATAGATAAGTAGCAATTCCTCTGCCCAACAAGTGAAAATCCCAAAGAGAAGGAAGGGTCTCATTTACCATTCTATAATGTTAAATACAACATCTCAGTTTCTTTGACTCTTCCCTCCCTGCCAGTCCTAATCCACACACATCCTGCTGAACACCTTCAGCTGGGTCACACAACTATCCTTCAAACTAAAGGAGTAACAGAAATATCAAAGACAGAAAAGAGTTGTATTAACTGACAGCAGGGGAAAACATGAACAGTAGATGTGATGTCAAGTACACCATGTGAGAGCAGCTCCACACAGTAACTGTGATTCCTGTGACAGGATAAATATGGTATCAGTGTCACACAGCATGGCATGAAAAAACATGAAGAGCCTTCAGGGATAGAATTTTATAGAAGATGAAGCAGTTGCAGGAGGAATACAATTTACCTGGAAATGAGCTGTGTTTGTGGAAGATAGCACATACTGCCTGAGAACAAAATTCAATTGGAAAGGAAGAAACGAGGAGTGCCAGCACTGCTAACATACTGAGGCAGCTCAGCAGTGCATTGTCAAAAGGAAAGATTCAGAAAGTGAGTCTTAATGACAACAAATCCCCACAGAGAAATGTTATAAGCAGGGTCCCTCAGGGCTCACTGTTAAGGCCAGTTCTCATTCAACAGATTATAGTTGACCTGGATAATACAAGTTCCTTGTGTACGTCCACACTTGCAGGCAGGCACAGGAGAATAGTCAAGTACTAAAGAAGGCAATAGCCTAGGGAAAAGAGCAAATCAGTGTCAGGACACTTCCATTTAGGACAAGCTATTAAAAAAAGGCAATGGAATTGGAGAAGGATGACAAAGGGAGAATGCACACCCAGCTGCAGCTACGGAAAAGCTGTACCATGAGTGCCAACACAAGCACTGTGCTGGCCTGGCAGTGGCCAACACAAACTTCCCCCTTCTCTCCCCACCAAAGGCACCTTCCCACCTGCCCCAGGCTGACCTCTGGTGCTGGTGTAGCCCAGGGAGCTGCTGACTTCACACTGGTGCAGGTGAGGCCGCGGGATCATGAGGATGTTGGAGATCTTGCCCAGGGAGCTGTCGTCGGAAGCCTGGCTCCTGACCTCCTCGGGGGGCAGCGCGCGGCTCTGCAGCGAGGGGCTGCTCGACACGTCGTACGAGCTGGAGCTCTTCCTCGTGCGGCTCTCCCGCTCCCGCACCGACCTGCTGGGGCACAGCAGAGAGAGCAGTGCCCAGGCTGCCAGGGGGCTGGGCAGGCCCAAGTCATGCAAAGGCTCCATGCTCAGCAGGCGAACGCAAGAGCACTGCAGGGAAGTCATCACTGTCTTTTTTGACTTCTGTGCATCACACAACACAACAAGAACACTGCAACACTTCCAGCACAAGGGCTGTGAAAGGACCTGCTCAGCTCCCTCTGCAATCCTACAGACACCACACCAAAGTGTGGCCTAGCCTACAGACCTCAGCCTACAGTTGCAGAACTATGTAGCTATAGGGAAACTACTTGGAATTATGAACTGCATAAATTGTGCTGCCATCTTTCATCTTACAGGCTGCTCAAAAGAACATACTAACCACAGAGTACCCATGCTCTGAGTTAGGCAATACTACTGAAAGAAGCAAAAGAAGAACTTGAAAACAAGCTTGTCAACCCTGCATTTCTGAAAAAGCAGTGAAATTTATCATTTATTGAATGAATTTGGCAAGGACCTGAGAATAATCAGCCTTTCTCCTCAGACAAAAGGACATGGAATAGTTGAGAACCTGCACTCAGCTTTTCTGCCTCTTCTCTCATTCAGATAGGCATCATTTTCAGGGAGAATTCTTCACCACTCTGTTCACAAGTTACTAAGCAGTGCATCAAACAATATATTTCTACAACTCTGTACAAGTCTAATGTGCAAATACTTTCTTAACCCTCTTGCAAAATCTGCTAGAAATATTAGCTTTATTCCACTTCAAACAAAATTAAAGATTTAAAGAAAAAATACATATTTATGCCTTTTCCTAGACCCCACACGCTATCTTAGAAGTAAAACACCAGACAACCAGTCATGAAGATCAGGTACAGATGAAGCTTTTTGTTCAACTGTAGAGATCAATTACCTTTGTATTTCTCTAAGTATTTTATGTATCAAGCACACATAACATGGCTGCTCCAGAACCAGGGCACTCCCAAGACTCTCACCTGAAAGTGGCACAGCGCTGGGCTCTGGCTGGGCCTGGCAGCCGGAACACCTGGGCATCGTAGCCATCATAATCCACCTGGATAGGCAAGGCATTCTCAGCATCCTTGGGAGCTCCTAATGCTGAAATAAAAGTCATACAGCACTGGAACATCTTTCAAGAATGCTCAAGATCTGCAAGGCAGAGTATCCACCTCTCACCCCTCAGGAAAGGATCTGTTCCAAAAGAAATCCCGAAATGTCACAAGCAGAGCAGCTGGAGCAGCTCAATTATCAAATCTGAATCAGGCTGGCTGAGGCCATACATCCTAATTACCCTATCTTTCCCCCATACATCCTAGATGAATGAAATGAACACTAAATGAAAAACTGCCAAAAAGTCAAGTGGCACATGCACATTAGCATCCCAAGTAACAAATACAGGAAATACTCAGATATGAGTTTGATGGTTTTCTGTAACAATTGTCCCTTCCTTGTGCTGAAGTGTCATTGTCTTCCTGCAGCTGTTTGTTACTTTTAGGTGTCAGAGGGATAGATCATTCCAGAACAGAATTACTTACAGGCATCACGATTATTTTTTGCTTTCTCTGTCAGGGGCTGGAGGGTCCAACAAAGGAAGTGTGAAGTGACCAAAAAAAAAAAAAAAAAAAAAAAAAAAATAAAAAAAAAAAAAAAGGAGCAACAGAAAAGACAGAGGGAAGGCAGTCAGTCAGCATGTTCTAAGGAAACATCCCCAGTGTGACCAAGAAGACAAAATTCAGTTTGCTGACTCAGTGAGGCAGCCAGACAGCTTCAGAAATATTAAACACTGATACTTGGTCACAAACCTGTGTGAAAAACACAATGCTCAACACCTTTCTTCCTCTCCATACAGTTCTTTGTTACAGAATGAAACTAATTTTTATGATGGCTAAAACATTTATCACCCAGTTTTATCTAGGAAGGAAGACCTCCGAACTACCTCTCAATCATAATCCCCACAACAAACCTTGCAGCTTTGCTTTCATAGCCTTTTGAAACTGAAACTTAGTTTCAGCTGTTGGAATACTTGTGATGCTTGGCTGAGAAGAGCTATCAGACAAGCTAGTAAGAAAATATAAATCAGAAAGATTCCCACCTTCCTTCCTGCCAGCTTGATCCGTGGAGTGAAACTGTTACACAGGAGTTGGCTTTTGGATGTGTAGAAACTGAAAGAAAAAATAGTGTGGCTTTAAGAACTCAACACAGTTGGTTTACTACACAGTAAGCAGACCAGGAACCTGAGTCAGCTATTGGATAAAGGGATAGCTTTCTGTGCATAAAAAAGTATGGAAAACACTGAGGGATGGTTGAGAGAAGCTACTCTTTGCCTAAAGACAGGGCTTTGATACTTGTACAGCCTCAGTCCAGACACTCCTTAAACCTGCATTGCCCAGTTCATTTTCTCTTTCTACTGAAAGACATCCACTTCTACTGTGCCATTTACACAACCCTTCCTGATTTACACAACTGTAGTGATTCACACCAGCTGTTTGAAAATCCTGTCATTTCTGTTAGCTTGCATTAATGCCCAGAGTTCTGCAAGAGTAATGTAGTATTTCCTTTGCCTCATAAGGAAAGCAGAGGAGATAAAAGAAGAAAGAGAATTCAAGAGCTTATGAAGAGTAAAGCAAAGCAGAAGTGTTTAGCAAAAGCTGACAGAATTTACCTACCTATGATTTATCCAGTGTGGGATATTGTAGTCATCACCCATTCGTGAGTCACCAGGGCCACAACGATTATGGAGCTGTAAGAGTAATTCAGAAGTAACTACCTGTATGCAGCCAGTCACAAAACGAGTAATGTTTGTAGCAGAACAAGAGAATGGAAAGCAGCCTTACCTTAAAGAGTGGTACAGCATGCAAGGGTTGCTCTCCCATGCACACCAAATCCACACCTATCCCTGTAAACAGACAACAGTGGAGTTCAGCTATCCAAGCAGGACTGATATGCTAAGACCAAATAGATCATCAATTTGAATTGAAGACCCAACATGTATTCACATCATATTATAAGAGGCAAGAATACTGAAAAATGGTAGTTAATGGTCCCACGGTATAGCTACAAACCAACATACCTGTGGGGATATAAGAAATTATTTTCCTAAACTAATGCAACTCATGCAAGATTATCCTCTAAGGGAAAGGTTTGCACAGACAGGTGAAGTTCTCTGACACAAACAAAAGACACTAAATGCCTGTGAGTACTCTGAAAATCTGCTCATTTCAATACAAAGTGCAGACACAAGTCTTGCAGCTGTAACCCTTCCTCCAGAGCACACAGCTTACGGCAGATACTTTCCCACAGCCAGAAGCAGCTGGATCCCCCCAAACCCGTGTTTGCCCTCAGAGAGGCAGCAGGCTGGGTGATTTACCGTTGTCAATCATGCGCTGCTTGGTCAGGATCATGAGCAGCCTGTCCACCTCAAACACCCCCACGCCAGGGGTGATCACCACCGACATCTGCCCCGTGCGGTCGAAGTTGCGGTTGATGTAGTGCTTGTCAAACACTGCCAGAGAAAACAGCAATGCTGTCAGAACACCCCGGATGGTTCTTTCAGAGCAAGGTGACCCCCTAATATTCCCCTCCTCTTCACAGTGTTAAGGAAAAAGTAACATAAGTACACAGCCATTTATTGGTAGGTGCTTCAATGGTTGTATTTTTACCCACTGCTCCTAACTTACCATTGAATGAAAGATTTATAGCCTCCAGGTAGTTCCCTTGTGCTGAGGTAGAATTGTAACCTGAAGGAAAGCCCTCTGGAAAAGTATTCAGAAAGGAGAAAAAAAAATCGTAATTTCTGTATATTATATTTTATATTAAAAAAAAAATCCACAGAAAAATTGATCTGTACTAAATATTATTGGTTCAAAAATTACAGGCAAAATTGATGTTAAGTTCCACAGAAAGACCAAGGCAAATTGCCCAGCCAGGAAAGCACTAAGTAGCATGACACCAGACTCCAACTAAAAATGGACAGTTCATGGACAAGCTAAAAATTTTAAAACATAAAAAGAGAGAGCAAAGGCTAAAAGCAGGGAAAGGAAGATTCTTGTACCTGCTTGCTCGAGTCGTACCAACACAGGATACTGGATGAAAAGCTTTTTAATGGTCACAAGCAAGGAGGTCCACTCCTCCCGCCTCTCATTCTGAACTACAACTCTAGAAAAAACACAGCCTGATGAGGCCCGTGAAAGAAGCTATGAAGGGAGCTGAGAGGGGATGAACAAACTATAAAGAAATGCACAAAAGGGTGCAATGGGTTGCACATACACTGTGGGACAAGAGGTGAAAAGAACTGGGAGGAAAACATACTTGTAAAAATCTTCATAAAATCTTCCCTCGTGATCCTGTCGAATTGATGCACGATGTGTTTCAGGAAACTCATCTGAAATGGAAGGAAAAGCACACCTTATCTCATGCTCTTCTACAGAAATGACTAATCTTTTCCAGCAAAAAGCTGTTATTTCCATTGAAAAATAAACAAGCAAAAAACAAAAAATAGCCTCCAGCAAGCAAACCAAAAACCAAAATACTTGGAGAAAATCAGTCCTCCCATACAATAAAAAACTGCTTTTAAACCAATATGACAACTTGAGTATGATGAGGAACATTTGCAGCACTTTTCTATGTAAGGTTCTGACTGCAGTACTCTCATAACAAAGGCTGTGTACCTACTGTGCTTGATGGAGAATACTTTGAACATGGCAATTAAAAAAAGAGAAAAAGTCCCTGTCAGCCTGTGAACAACTTTCAAGAGATGAGATACGTTGAAAAAATGGAAACATGAAAATAGAGAATTTGCATACCTATAGATTTTGCTTCATAAAATGTTCTTGAAAACAAAACCACTGTCACTTCATGGCTGCAATTCTTCTCCTGTCCAGGAAGAACAAATGCAAAAAGAAAACATTAAAAGTCACATTTGGTAGAAAGTCATGTATATGCATGTATAGTAACAGCCTTTCTTCCCTCATACCTAGAAACAAAGGTAACTAACAAAACCTAGACTAGTTTTCCATCTGACTCTCTGAAATAACAAATGGTCTGTCCTGCAGATTCTGTGCTGCTTGGCTGTATCACATTTACCAGGAGCACTTTCCACTAGTCTCTAAAGAAGCACCTCTCTGTAGTTGCCAAGATTTTTGTTAAGAAAACAGTTTGTTTATATCCACAACAATTTGATATTCTGATGTGTTACTGTTCAGAGAGATGTCCCTAACAATTACAGAAAAATAAAAAATAAACCTGAACTCAATTAACTATTTACCTTCCATTTTGTGAAGAGGTCAGCAAGGAAACCATTCACAGCTTTCTCAAAGTACAGATCCCCTGCAAAATAAAAATCTCCCGAGCATCAGATAACAATAGTTACTTCACCTACTGAAGTTAGATATGGGGAATATCTAACCCTAAGATTCTAGGACAGTTATATTTATTAAATGTCAAGCAGCTGTGTACATAATAAAGGGCAATATTGCTAAGATAAGAGGGTAAAAAGATTAAAAAGCATGACTGTTTTATGATAAAAAGATTTAAAAGCATTTTTTTTTCAGAGGATGTAAACATGAGACTTAATGCCAGAAGGATTAGACCTTTAATTCATTTTTCCAACAAATTTGCAGCATGCTGGGAAAGCATCTGTACTGTCTTTTAGGGCATAGAATGCACAACTGATCCCCTGCTCTGATTTGAATAATTGCCCAGTTCCATATGCCTAAACACATGGTCAAAGGAAGTAGCAAGAGGTTTGCTAAAGAATTAAGCCAGAAAAAACAGGATGACACAGAGAAGTGACTCATTCTTAATGCCTAAAGTTGTAATTCTTCCAGCTGAAGTTACCAACTTCAACCTGGGCTAAGGCAGGTTTCACTTCCTCAATAAGCCAATGTCTAGAGAAATCTAAAACATCAAGGTCCTCTTTGCACACGACTTCCAGACATTTCTAGCTTCAGGATTCACAAATTTGCACCTGCCCTCATCACCCAACACATTCATATCCATAGAAAACCTTTCCAATGCTCACAGTGATTTAGTAGCTGAGATAATGGCACCCAGGCTCTACAGGGACAGGAGAAGGATGGCACAGACAGGGACAGAAATGGGTGGCACTGCAAGGAAGGATCTAAGGAAAGACCACAACACACCCTGAAGCACTGCTTAGGCCAAAGTGGCAGAAAAAAATACCAGTGGCAGTTTTCTAGCAGGGGCAGAAAGGACAGCTGCTACCATCCACAGTCACAGTACCTACGTACCATAAATATCAAAATCCCACATTTCACAGCTCATCTGGATAAAAATATAAACCATGGCAGAAGTGGAGCGGAAGACCACCTGCAAAGGAAGGCAAGACCTCATTTAAAACCAAATACATTCATTAGAAAGCCCAAATGAAGAGGCTAACTACACAGCAACTCATACAACTGTGGCCTTGCATCACAGGGAATTTCCCCTCTGACAAGTTGGCATTTCCCCTCTAACAAGTCATTCCTAGTGCTGCCAGCACAGCAGAGCTGAAGTTTAATAATGATTTATTGTCCTGAACTTATTGCCATTCTTCACCTCACAACACAGCCAATTCTAATGATCCATACAAATCTGCAGGCAAGATAGAATTACAAAAATCCTGGCAGGCAAGGAAAAGGAGGGAAAAACTGCTTTCCCCCTGTTTCCTGAACTCTTACCCGGGTGTCCTCACTGATGTATCCACAAGTGACTTTCTCACTCTTTACCCACAGTTCACCTGCCTGGGCCCTGGAAGAAAAGAAGTGCAGAATATTTGAATATGAAGATTAGAGAGCCAGTATTTGAGCAAGCAAGAGAAGTACCAAAATCTGCAGTCAAGGATGACTTATTTGGTTAAAACCTGATGTTTAACCCACAAGATGTCAAACAGCCATTTCCCTCTGATTCTGCACATTTCCTGGTCCCTGTGTCATCCCAAAAGCAAATGAAGTAATCCCCTCTCAACTATTAATACAGCTTGGGAAGGGGGTAAATATTCTAAGAGATAAAAATAAAATTATTTGCCCTCCATCAGAGGCCACAAGTGTAGCTGTCTGCCCTACTATTAGTTTCTTTTACCCCAAACCAGATAGAAGCCTTCCCCCACCCCATGGTGCAGACAGAAACCTGTAGATGAGTAAGAGAACAACGAAACATGAAGGATTTCTCAGAGAGAGTCTCCAGCTGGATACTTAAAACTCATCAAGCTAAAGCAATAAGTAACAGTAAGCCCTCAGAGGAGGCACTGACCTGATACCTGCAAATTCAACTTTCTGGGTGACATAGGCACATGTGCTGACCTAGGAAAGAAGAGTTACATGTGTTAGAAGAAGAGCAGGCTCAGAGGGAGAAGAACAATGTACATAGAAACCACTTGCACTCAAACACCATTTTTATGACAGAAGTCACAGAATCCATTCACTGCAGTTACTACTAATAGCTCAGCCTACAGAACCTCTGTAACAGACAACAGAAAATCACTTTTAACACAGATCAACTCTAACTGGGATCATTTGCCTAATTCACTGTACTTAGAGGAGCTAAAGACTGCACTTCAGAGATACAGGCAGAAGATATTCTAATAGCTGCTTATTAAGTGCTACTCTCAGAGAGGGGACACTTCAGCATACTTCTACTTGAAAAACGTTTGGATTCAATTCCTTCCAAATGTAGGAAATCATTAAAATTCAGAACATAAGCAAAAAAAAACTCTCTACAGCATTTTCAATGCCCAAGGCAGTAATCAACATTATAGCAGTGGAGTAGGAAATGATGGGATTTGTTTTTCTACAACATTTACACCCATTTCTCCAACTCTGATGTGCCACTCACAGCACAAGATCTTCAGGAGCTGCAGGCACTGTCTTTGTCTTTCTGCATATTGCAAAGCAATTCTTTTCTTTCACAGCAAAGAAAACATAAGGTTCACCACTTGCACCCTGCCCAAGGGCAGCAGGGGCCTTACCAAACTCTTCTTCAGCCTCCACATATCCCCACGCCCAATATACTGATCTTTAAATGTCAGCTCCACCAAGTCCAAGGTCACCTCCTGGGAAATGGATGAAAAACACTGCTTAGATTTTACTGGTTGTTTTCAGGAAGGGCCCACCAATCTGTTCATTTAACAACCAACTGTTACAAGAAGGGCCATTCAAAAGCAAGTCAATATCCCTAAAACTGCAAGATAAAGGGGAAGCCCGAACAAAAAAATAACAAAGTTGCGCATGTAGCTCAACTACTGCAAGCTGCAAAACACTGCATAATGTGATCAGAAAAAGCCCAAGGACTAAATTTGTACTGCAAGTCTCAGTGCATATTGGAAGCTGAAATAATACAAATTACTGCCATTGTTCATGACAGTAAGTAAGCCTCATTTCCTGCAGATTTTTGTCTTGTGCAGAATGTAAGTTCTGACTGCAGCTCTTTTAATAGCTGGGACATTTACAGGAAATGCCTCTAAGAGGCTCTGTGGTATCAAAAAATGCAAATCCAGGCCATGGCTCTTCTTTTGACTAGGCTACTTTGTTTTTCTTTATTGTGCCTGGTTCTCATAAACTTCTGCAATTTAAAAATATGTGAAATGTCTACATTTCTACCAAGCTCTGTTGAAGCAGGATCATAAGAGTTCAAAAAGAAAGCAGAGATTGTAGGAAGAGAAGAGACACATAACAAACAAAAAAATAATTCAAAGTCCAAGGCTCATTTTCTTAGGGAAGAAGACTAAATATCTTTCAACAATAAATAAAAGCCTTTTTTCCCCCCAGAAAAAAAATGTAAATGAAAAGTCACAGGGCTCTGATTTGAGTCAAGTGATGGAATGGATGGAAACAAGTGGCCAAATCACACACCTTTGGGTCAACAACATTGACATGGACATCCTGGTAGGGCCGCAGGCGGAACACCTGTGCAACTGTCTGGTCCACACTTATTGTTTCTGCCAGAGAATGAGAAAGGACAGCAATGTCAGTGTCCCCAACAGGTTCCACGTGGTTTACAGGTACAAAACCAGCACGGGCAGACTGCCATGAAACACAGATTTCAGGCTAAAAAGCCAGGTTTGCTTAAACCCTAACCACATTACCCAAATAAAAGCAGATTTAGAACTAACTGCCTGTTTTCTGTTAAAATTGTAATCCTTCCCTTGCTAGACAGACAAAGCATTGATTTTGTTATGAAATTAAATACATATGTCACAAGTACAGCCTAGCCATGTTACCCTTCCTATGATTTTACTGTGCATAAGTCTTGAGTTTTACCTTTCTGCAGGTCTTCCTTAAGTGACTTCACTTGTAGAAGCAGGGGACTAGCATGGAAAAGAGAAAAAAGGTACACAAGTTGAGATATCAACAGTCTCTCTGGTAAATCACACACTCAAAACTATTTAGTAATATGAACTAGAGGACAAGCTAAAGAGAAACATGAATATTTTCTAGAAAGCTTCATCCACCATCCTCTCCACCTGTCTCTCTGTCTTGTTCCTTGCACTCTTCATAATTATAAGGTATTCTTGAGGTAAAGATTATACTACAAACAGGAAACTAGGTCACACAAGAACTCAGATCCTCACACAAGTGTACTGATGCTTTTCAGACAGAGGCTGCAGGATGAACAGGTTCATACCACAAGGCCACAAAATTTTATTTTTGCCGAGGATATACTGTAGGATAGGAGAATAAGTAACAGCAGATCTAGGAAGAGGATACAGGCATTGTCAATTCTATATTCAGGTGTTACTTGGCCTGTGGAAGATCAGCAAACTAACACCAAACACAACAAATTCCATAAATTTTAAGGAAGCTCTCCTGCTAAATTTAACCTTTTTACTTCTCTTTAGGTAGAAAAAAATCAAGGCAGCATCCTGAAGCAAAGTTATATCAGCCCTAAGAGCCTCTCACTCTAGAAACCACTACACATTAACAGATCCTTTCAGTGCTCCAACCTCACTGTTATCAGCAAGGAGAATTTACCTGTATTCATCATTGGGATGTGCAATTTCCACAACATCTCCCAGCTTGATTTGAAGAAATACTTTAGGATTCACCACCAGTTCATCATCTACAAGACATAAATGAAAGAGGGCAGTGAACAGATACATACTAAACACAGACAACTGCATGTTTGCACACCACAGCTCAGCATACATAAATATACCAAACCAAGATGAACACATCAGCAAAAGGCTTGCTGTCCCCCACATGCCAGGGTCCCTACCCAGCCACTCCTGCAGGCACAAACAACTCAAATAACAGAACTTTCACAAAAGAAGTGTCTAATTTGGGTAACCAGAATCATCTTCTGTATTTTTCATACAACAAACACCAGCAGGAAAGCAGGCAGCTGTAGAATCTCAACAAGACTTATCAATGTGCTTTAAGTCTAGAAGTAGGGAGCAATCCAATCAGTGGCACTGTTATTACTGCTCAGAAACACATCTAAGTGCAGTCATAAGTCACTGACATACATGTCACTCATTAGGGTGACTGAAACACTAGATTAAGAGAAAAGTGTTGCAAAAAAAGAGGAGGAAGAGAAAATAAAGCAATTTTATTTTTAGATACAATCTTGGTCTCTTCCAATAAATGTTCATTTATTTTGTTGTATCTTGTTATTAGAAAGAGCTTTCCAAACTCTGGCTGGAAATACTGCTTGTTACATCAAGGTTCCATCTTCACTCTTTTGTCAAAAAGATCAATAAAACAATTGCTTTCAGTTAAGAGAGTGTTGGTCTCACTGTTATGAGCTGGGAGATACTGACCACTGCCTCCAAACCCCTTCTTATGTATGACGAGCTTGTACACCTTGTTGGTTCTCATCTTGAGCTCCAGTTCGTGTCAGACGCTTCGAGCCAAGACGGTTAAAGGCATCTTGCATATCTAACACGGAAAGGAAAACAAACACAGAGCTCCCGTCAGTGCAAAGCCACTGTGTACGCTGTGAGGTGAGCACAGCGCGCTGTCCCGGCAGAGCTGCGCCCAGCACACGAGGGTGCGGGACAGCTACAGGCACGGGCACGAGGAGAGAGGGACCTAAAGGTGTGCTTTTCAAATAGATTAAAGGGTTCAGCTTGCAGATGTGCTTTGCAGAAAGTCAATTACCGAGCTACAGAGTCGTGGAGGGAAAAAAAGACCCCTATAACTAAAATCTTAAAACAAGCTCTATAAGTTGGAAGTGACGCGGGTCTGGACAGAAGCGCGCTGGGTGCTGCAGCCGGCAGACCCGCTGCGGGGACGCCACACGGAGCAGGGCCGAGCGGAGAGCAGACAAACGCGAGCAGCTACAGTCACCAGGCAGCCACGGACCGCCGCGTCCAGCCGGGGCTCGCTCACAGGGAACGAGAAGCGCATCCGGAGACCCGAGGTCCTGCGCGGAGCAGCGGCGAGGGGCGCTCGGGCACCGCCAGGGTCCTTACCCGCACGGGGGGCAGCAGCGCGGCGGCTCACAACAGAGCCCCGGGGGAAGGACACCGGGGAGAACGGCGCGAAGGGAGCCCGGACACCTCAACGGCCGCGGGCCCAGCCAGCCCCAGGGCCGCTCCTGCCGGCGGGGCCGCTCCTGCTGGCGGGGCCCGGCCGTGCCGGTGCGCGTCCCGCGGGCACCGCGCGGCACTTCCG